TCTGATATTTTGATTTGTCATCTCAGGCTACATGTACTTGTGGTTTTCACTGTTATAGATTTTTTTTTTTTTTTTTAGAATAACTGGTCAAGAATTTGCAGATAAATCAATAATTAGCAGTAATATAAAAAAAAAAAAAAACTCAGAACAAAAGACCCACACAACAGAGTAAACAACAATTCATTTAATAATTAATCTTTGTGGTCTCTAGGGGAGGGGTTTGAAAGGTATAAAATGGTCATATTAAAATAATCGACCCAGTCTTTTCCCTCTCAGGATACCCACTGTCTAGTTGTCATTTGACACAAGTACATATATTTTTTTTTTTTTCAGTTCTTCAGCAGACGTCCCACTTATCCATGTATATAACTTATTTGTGTTGATGAAACAACTTGAATCCTTAGTCCCAAATGGATATAACACACAACCAATGACGCACACGCAAACCTCCCTTCTCAGCGTAACAAAGCCATAGATGAGATCCTTGAAGAGGCCAGAGGTTGCAATGGATACGGCTTAATGTTCACACACACTAAAAAGTTTTCTGTGAAGCAAGCCTTTTGCTTTGTCGTTTGCATGATTTGGAGAACAGATTACCTGGGGAGAGAGTACTGGTTGATACCCGAAACAAAGACAAATAACATAACAGTGAATATATTTATTATTATAGAAGATAATTAATGTTAAGAATAATAATTACAAAGGCAATTTCTCTAGACTACTATAATCTGGTCCTGCACATATAGTCAAGAGGAGACTGGGAAACAGTTACAGGAAGCTCTAAAATACTGTGTTCACTCACACAGTGTAGCACAAGTCATTTCGCCATTCATCCTTTTGAAAACAAACAAACAAAAAAAAACAAGCCAAAAAAGGTTGAATCTTGTTATCAGTGAAGCTGAGGGTTTAGATTTTTGGGTAAAGCAGGAAACTGAGGTGCAATGCTTACTGATCTTCATTAAATGGTGTCATCAGTAATCTGTCAATGACAAAAAGACACAAAGACAGAACTTCACCATTGTATTTCTAAAGACCCTCATCCACAACACCCAGTCAGGGTTGATTGATGTAGAGGAGGGCTTTATAATATCCCATGAGTTAACCAAGCTGAGGATGAACCCTTGACATGTTTTCACAGTGTACATCCCTCTGGAAGTCATTTCCAATCCACCCGGAAAAGGCTTGCTGAAAAGCATGGATCATAATTCACCTGACAAATGGAAGAGAAGGAAAAAAAAAAAAAAAAAAAAAAATGCTGTCCTCTGCCTCTTCATACACCTTTCAGAATTGACTTCGGTAATAACCAACAGCCAGTATAAAACTAAAAATACACCAAGGATGCACAGAAACCATGTACCTTTAAATTGCACAGACGGAACCATTGCGCATATTCCAAGTCACACTGATGAGTCTTGCATTTCCCTCCCTACAATCACCTCCAGCCCGTCATGGTTACCCCTTTCTTTGAGGTGGAACTGTAGTTGGTTTGGATGTGGAACTGGGAGGGGGCAGGGTTTAGTAGTCTGCAAGAGGAAAAGGTGGCAGGTTGAGAGCAGCACAGTGATCCTGACATTTCCCTTAATCTCCTCCAGTGTTGTCCCTGTACTATCTGGACTCTCCGTCTTTGTGGGTGCTGTACAGTGCCAGATCACCTGGCCCTCCAAGTCTTGAACCGCGGGGAGGTGTGGACGACCGGCTGGTGATGGACGGAATGAGTGGAGGCGGTACCCCCATTGACAGAGCTCCCACCAAGCCTGCGGGAGTCTTTGCCAGGATGCCGTTGGGCACGTGGTGTGGGTTTAGGTGGCCTAGACGGGCGTACAGGCCAGCGTGATGCTGGGAGGCAGGAGAGGCTCCAGGGGGGAGTGAGTGGGAGAGAAGGCCAGGGTGGAGCTGCTCCAGGTGAGCGGCGGTAGCAGCATGAGAGGGGCTTGAGAGATGTGAGCCAGGAGGAAGGTGTGGGTGCATCCCAAAGTAGCGAGCCCGCTCAAAGTCTTCCCTCAGGATCTGTGTACGCTGCTCCTCATCCATCAGTCCTCCTCCAGGTGGTCCAAGGTGAGGGCGGTCAAAGTGATGGGCCATTAGGCCGAACTCCTGACGGGCAGCAGAGGTGGGGGCAGAAGAGGTAGATGTCGGAGGGTGGTGAGAGGCGACTGAAGCAGCTGCTTCCAGAAGGCGCTGATGCTGGAGCAGTCGAGTCAGATGTGGATCGGATCGAAGGGCTAGGTGAGGGTCTGACCAAAGTGCCAAAGCCTCCCTCCGATGCTGATGCTGCTGCTGAGCGGCCAGCTCCCTCCGAGGGTCCCAAGTGAAGCTATGTGGACCCTGTGGATGTCCGTGGCCTGGACCATGAGCGAAACGTTCTCCTCCTGGACCCACCATCAACCCAGCAGCCCCTGTGCTCCCCAGATAAGCTTCAATGGCCCTGGAGCGATCCAGCAGGGAAAGGTGTTGGTGGGAAGGAGGGTGGTTTGGAGCGTGTGACATGAGGGGAACACCAGTGGGAGTCAGTGATAAAGAGGAAGATGAAGGGGTACCAGACCTATGGTGGTGTGGATGGCTGTTGGGACGGTCAAAGCCGTGGTTGGGTGCCGGGGGAGGCAGGGTGATGGGGATATGCTCCGGCTCCTCTTTCCTCTCCTCTTTAACTTTAACTGGCGGGAGAAGCATGGGAGGTTTGGAGACGGGTGTTGTGGTCCGGTCAGACTTCTTGGCCTGAGACAAAGAAGTGACAGAGGCAGGAGCTGTGGAAGAAGCAGGGAGGTTGCTGTCTCTTTGGGAGTGTGAGGGTTCGTTGTGGAGGCTATGTGCTGTCGGGGCCAGTGGTCGGGGGTAAAGGTCCAAAGGAGATGGGGCTGAGCGGTTCGAGGGTGGGGGAGTAGTGAGCACAGAAGATGAGGAAGACCGTGGTCTGTCCCTGTCTGCTACTAAAGATGAGGAGCCAAGAGGCAGCCCCCGTGAAGACACTGTTGGCAGCGGCCTCTTATCCCCATCTCTGTCTCGCTCGCGGTCTCTGTCTCTATTTAAGCTGCGTGTCAGGTCCTCAATAGGACCACTACTCCCCGCCAGGGCACTACTGTGGCCATTAACGTGGGAAACTGGGGTGCTACTGCGGGGCTTGAAGGAAGGGGGAACTGGAGACATTCTCACAGGTGGTCGGCCATACAGCATATTGTCTCTGCAAAACACAATACAACAGTTAAATGACGGAAACAGTGACACAAATCCATATTATGCATCACTTTAACTACAGTTAACACTAGTATAAATGTCCGGTTATATATGCAAATACAGTATATAAAAGATAGACTGATAATTCAAGCTTTAATGGCAGCATGGATAATGTAAACAAGCTACAATGCACACTTGAATTAGTCAACAAATGGTTCTACGATATTGAGATACAAGAGAAATTTTGTTAGATCCTGCTGTGTTAAATTTATTTTGTGTTTTAGTTTTGCTAATTGGGAGATTCGTGATCATAGGACTGCCTACTGTACTACTGTAATTTGGGTACTGATTGCTAACTAATACCACCTCAAGTCAAAACATCCAAGCTACTCCTTTAAATATAAAGCCAGCACTGTAATCAGCTGAATGTCATACCTGTCCTTTTCGTCCTTGATGTGGGGGATGTCTCTCCTCTCTCCTTCCTTTCCTCGATCCCGCTCGTCACGCTTGTCTGCCCCTTTAGCCCAGCTGGGGCCAGAAGGGAACCCAGATGGGCCACCGTGTAGACGGTTCCATGGGTCATGATGGTTAGGGTTGGGCAAGCCTCCAACCACACTAGCCGGTGACTCTTTAGGGGCGAATACAGAGCTCGCTGCAAACCAAAAAGACATTTTGTGTTAGAAAGCAAACCAAAAAAACAACAACAAAACACTGCATAGTGGTTAACAAGTAGAAGTCAGATAAACACATTTTATACCTTAAAACCTTCCAGTTAAATATTTTGCAAAACTGTTGTGCCATCTTGTGGAAGTAAAATCCACATGCTTTACACCACGTTTTATTGTTAGCATCTGATCTGATATTAAAAAGTTAAAAGTAACACAAGTCCATTTTATAGCTCTAAACTTGCTTGTATTGTTTAAACAAATTCTGTACAAAGGAAATAGTGATCAAAACAAGTTGGTCCTTGCTAAATGATCAAACCTCTTGTAACCCTTAAAGCGACATGGTTTAGCAATCTCTCCCAGCTTGGTCTAGTTGTTCCAACACAACTAAATGATGGGAAAACCCCCCAATAAACCATCATTTTTACCCAATTTGACAGAAATGTCTAATCCATGCTTTTATATTGGACTTTGATTTAGACTGCTTCCAGTCTTCACAGCTTAAATTAATGCATCCAACCTTGTACTTGTATATCAATGACAAAGCCCAGCACAGCCAACCACAGCATGTCTCTGACAGTGACAGCTGAGCTGTAGCTGTGCTATAAGACAGGAGAGAAAAGCATTAAGGGAGAAGAAAAGCAGTGAGTGATGCAAACAAACGCCTCAGCCAAAGTTAAGACAAGTTTATCCTGCTCGGCAGTGGACGTAGGGCTGCGTATTTACATCTCCAAACTAAGAGTAACAAAAACTGTCCGGTAACAAGTGCTTGGTCAGATTTTTTAAAAATGTTTTTACTTACTAATTAATCTAATAATTCCTGATTTTTAGTTTATACAGGATATATTTAGGTGACGTTCTTGTATGTAAACATTATACATACACCTGATGCATTTAAAAAACATTCTTTGGGGAAAAACTTGTCTATGGTAGCATTTTTTGCAATGTCTCCATCAAAAACGTAATGTTTTGATTATCGGTACCAAACCTCAAATATATCTATATCCTGGCACTAGGATTTCTAAAACAATTCCCAGGTCTAGATCAAAGCTGCGCTGGTAGTAGTAAAGGCAGGAAGAGGGAATAATCAGAGGCGGTGTTAAAGCTCCACCATGTATTTATGACCAGATCTCAGTTCCTCACTAAATATCCGCTGTAGTTGTTTTACAGTTAGGAGACGTGTGAGTAAGAGAATAGTTTTATTTAAGCCTCCTCATATCCTACAATTAAACCATGCAGTACTGCACTGTCACAAGAAATGCTCACAATACAATATCCATTTTATTCTCTGATAGTGGCATGAGAGGAACATAACCAGCTACAGTCAGAAATCTGTCATGAGAATAACAGGCTAGCATGAAAGTTGATCAGTCTCTTTGGAAATAGCCCCCTCCCCACTTCCTGTTTTCAACCCACACCGCATTAGCAGATTAGCTGCTGAATACAACAAGTAGCTGCAATCTGGATGAATCCTTTACCGTTGGTACTTAAAAATAACCTGCTAAAAGCATATTAATCTTCCTAAGTGTTAATTTGACTTCTTTACAAAATTTTAATTCAAGATGTTTATAGACTGTCCTTTGTGATATTAATGGATAATCTTATTTTACAAAGTGCTATTGTAACTATAATAGATGTGAGATTTGTTGTGCAAGGATCTACGGAGGCCATTGAAAAACTTAAAATATGGATTACCTAGCGAAGTGTGACACTAGTGAGCTCAGGCTTGTGTGCGTGTAAGATGCATTGCTTTCCGCGCCTCGGTTCTGTTTTGAACAGACTTGATTGCCGACGTCAATCAGGATTGGTGCGACTCGACAAGCCTCAACAATCACTAATCATCGTTTTTCATTAGCCGAGTATGGAGAGGAGATCCAATCACAGTAAGAGTGAGAATTTGTGTTTTTCACAATACTCCCACGCTCAGACAGATATGCCGACGATTTATACATTGAATAACAGTGCATTACATGGGTGAGAAGACTTAATTGTTTTCCGCCCACACATGTTCTTTACTTCGATTAAATTGAATCCAATCTTTCCTAAGTTCCAAATATTACACTTTTTTCAGTTGACAAGTTGTAATCACAAACCCGGAGTACTCTTTAACACGCATACCGTACCCTTATAGCATCTACCCTACAGACAGAGCTCTAGAGTTGCAGTGAGACTTAAAGGATAGGTTTGGATTTTTGAAGTCTGTCTTCAACCCTCATATGACACATGTATATTGATTTACTGGTTGTTGTAATTATTCCTCCTGTCCATACTTGTTGTGACGTGATCCCTTCCTTGTGCGAGTATACTGTAAAAGATGGGGGACAAAACCTCAGTGTTCTGTGCAAAAATGCTTTTCAAATTCAAGCTGTAGCCAATGAGGCTTCAGCATTCTGAGTTACCCAAATAGGGTAAAAATTTAGAACAAAATTCCCTCTGCATGCTTCTCCAGACAGCATTTCCTTGTTGAGTCCTAGTATTTTGTTGCATCTAGGTTTGTTGTTACACAACACCAGTAATAAATCTACACAAGACAGCCAGGATACACTTGATTGGGCCAACTCTAAAGACTGCTAAAGCCTCATTTTAGCATCAGCTGAACATTAGGATGCATTGTTGAACTGAAGGAGGACTGTGGATGTTGTCTCCCATTTCTTAAGTGGAGTCTCCTAAAATGGATCACTTCATGAAGAGCAGGAATGATTACAAAGACTAAAAGCCTTTTCACACGGGAAGCGATTTACGCGCCTCGTAATTCATTTTCAATGAGAGGGAAGGGAGGCGAGGGCATTGCGACAGGCGTAGCGACAAGCGGGCGTGTTCTGTGAAACTGTCGCGGTTGTGCTCGTCTCACGCACACGCCCGCCCGCTCCTCTGTACGCGACGCGCAGCACAAAAAGAAGATGGATGAGAGACTGATCCTCGCCGTCTGCGACTTCCCTGAAATATATAAGTGTTCACTGAACAGTTATCTGGACATTAAGAGGAGGGCATTTGCACGACTAGATTTATCATCTATACAAGTATGAATAATATAGCCTAGCAACTAATGTTACTTATAGTTTTACTTTAAGCTAGGCTATGAAGGAATACAGTAGCGCACAGAAGCTGTTGCCATGGTTACCATCTAAAGAGTGCCTTCCGTTTACTCTCGTATCTGTGTTCACATGACAAGCGCAGAGCGACCAGGGCCAGGCGACTACGCAGGCAGAGTGTCGCTTCCTGTGTGAAAAGACCTTAATATGGTCACCATTGTGCAGCAAAAAAGCGGTCTCCATTTTTGCTCCAACGCAATATGGCGTCATCTGGCAGGGCTCTGCAGCGGCCAATCAAGAGAAATTATTTAGTAAAAGGTGACGCCATTTTTCTTTGCATCGAAAGATAAAACAATTCCTGCCGTGCCACCCGAGTAAAATCCTGTCTCATAGTATTATAAATGGCTGTGCAGTGTTTTGGCATCTGATAAGCCTTCAAACTGATTTATCTCTTACCCAACTCTTAACTGGACTGCATTTCACTGTCTCACGGGTACCTGACGCTAGACCAATGCAGAGCCTGAAGTTGTTTTAATTCAGGGCCTTTTCTTCAGTCTGAAAGGCCACTTACTCTTTCAATATACACATGACAAGAGAGGATTGTGTTAAGACAGACTTGGAAAAAAAACCCTAAACCTATCCTTTAAGCCTCGTGTTTCAAGAGTAGAGAAACCGTAAGACTGACCCAGTGTTGGGCTGCCAAGTCCTCCAAAGGCACCAGAACCAAGGGCTCCCAGGGGGGTGAAGGGTGGGGATCGGCCATACGGATCTAAGACACCAACGCAGATAATCATCAGAAATACTGTGTTGATACAAAGGCTCATGGAATTATATTTCTATAAAAAGGGTTTAAGCCGTGCTTAAACTTCTGAAATGTCTTCATTCACATGCAAGAACATGGACACAAAAATACTGCAGTTTTACTGAATCAAAACGGAGCTAAATTCCAAGTTACATTTAAAAGGTTGAGTGTTTACGTTTTAGTGGCATCTAGTGGTGAGTGTTGCGAATTGCAACAAACGGCTCACGGTGCCTTCACTTGCTCCTCGGGAAGAAATAAGTAGTCATAATAAATGTATTAATTCTAATGTCATTTGTAAATTCAGCAGTAAAAAAAAAAAAATAAATAAACTAACTTTGTAATTTTTCCTCCATGAGGTTGTACATTATATCAATTTAATACTGTACTTCTTTATGTCCCATGGACACTTTATTCCTCTTCAATAAAGATTTAAGGAGGAAAAAAATTAATCTGATTATTCCGCGACATGAATGCACCATCAGTCACCGCTCACGCCTCCCTTTGCAAGCATGGAGGAGAAGCTACTGTGGCCGACACCCTCTGTCTGCTCTTTTGCTAAATAATACGTGTGGGCCTCCGTTTGTCCAAATTTCACTTCTCTTCTCACGTCTAATAAACCAGACCAGTAATACTACTACTACTACTACTACTACTACTTGTTTTTCGTATGTAGTCAACGTACTGACAAAACTCTGTAGCAGTTTGTCCGTTTTGGACCACTGTAGAAACATGGCGGCACGACGTGGTGGCGTCCATGTAAGAGGATTCGCGGTGAATGTAGATAGAAATGTCTCATTCTAAGGTAATAACATAACGGTTCATTATATGCCTCTGAAAACATAGTTATGTATATTATATTGCATTTCTGTCAATAGATCCTCCTAAATTATTATTATAATTACACACTCAACATTTAACTTATGGAAACTCTACCAACAATAAATGTGCAAAGGGTTTCTATTAATTTATGAATAGTCAAGGTCAAAGTAAAATCTCAGGCAGGTGAATCAAAGCGACAGACAGTGGTTGTGGTGTACAAGTGGCATACAGATGTGCCTTTTTAAGCTGCTCTTACCCAAGTGTGCAGTTGGTGGGAGGAAAGAGGAGTGGGGCGTTGATGGGGAGATGAAAGGAGCTGAGGACGGATTGACTGGCCCTGAGGGGAAAGAAGTAATAGTAAAGGAAAATAAATGTCACAAGTAATCAAATCAAGTTACTCTCTCTCTCTCTCTCTCTCTCTCTCTCTCTCTCTCTCACACACACACACACGCTGTGACTCAAGATAGCAATGCTGTCAAACCTCAGGGATGTGAGGACAGAACTAATCAGAAAGCAAATAATGACGAGTGGTAAGAGAAGGAGTTGATGAGTTCTTTAAGAAATTAGTAAAATGTGTGTGTGCAGCAGTGAAATACTGAAACAACACTAAGGACAAATTGCCCAGACAGCATTTATACCATTTAAGTCATGCAACACATTAAATTCACATTCTGCCAACTGTTCTTGGGAGACAAAAATATTTAGGCTAGCACCTGTAGCTGAGAACAGACTGGGCGGCCTGGTCAGATCATGAGTGGGGGGCAGGGCTCCTCCTATGGGCCCGAGGGGGCCCAGTCCCCCAGCTCCAGGAAGACGGGCCAGCAGGTCACTACGGAAGTCCAACTTGTGAGGATCAGCCTGCATCAGCTGAAAGAATTGGGTAGAAAAGTTAACCAGACATTTAAGGGAGTTAAGACCGCTTCTATTTAAACCTTTCTCTGTCTACTGAGGGACCATCTCACTGGGATACAACTACTTAATGATTTTATTCTCTCAATATGCCTATTCAATTGAACTGTATTTTACAAATCAGGGAAATTATAGCAAATGATTTCAAACACGTACCTTTACTTTTTTCTGATGGGTTAGAATCATCCAGGCCACATATACATGCATAGCACACCATTTTCCTGGTTTCTGCATAGCAAAAACAAAAAAATAGCAGGTGTTTATTATGTTACTCCATGAATCTCGCATGCGCAACTTTAAAGCCTTTGCACACAGAGTCAGATGTTCTTCCTGTTGTTCAGAAATCTCTTGTCTAGCCTCTAGACAAGGGCTGTTTTCCAGCTGAAGATAAGGTTACTCACTAGAGCGCAGGATAAGTTTGGAGAAATAAAATTAAAAAAAGTCAGTGATAAATGCATAAGCAGCGATACAAGGAAACACGGACATACATTATACACGTGGTAATTTCTGGGTCTGAAGTATCTAACTGGGTGTGCAAGGGCAGGATAATAGACCAGTAGCAGTCAAGATTACAAGTGAGATTAGTGCAAAGAGTGAGTGAAGCAGTGAAAAAGTAAAACAGGCTGAAGGTTTTAAGGAGCCAAGGGATTCAAAACATCTGTTTTTGCTTACATTACTGATTTTCAACGATGTCCCAAATGGATCAGTTAGCTACAAGAGAACAGAAGTGTGAAACCACTTTTAATCAGCATATCTCCCTCTTTATGAGGAATAGTTTTGCACTCTTTACTGCACTGACTAGGCCCGTGTTGCAGCACATCTTCGCCTAAACTGGCTGTCCACATCTCTGCAGTTCTATGCAAACAGAAGGAATGATGCAAACTGCAGCTTGTAAGTAAGCATGTGGTCCTTACCCTGGGGTCTTTGGGCTGAAGGTGGTGAGGCACAACCCCGAGTCTTGCGCTTATATCAGAACCGGTTCCCTGAGGGACAAGAGGCTGTCAAACACAGCACAACACATCAGCCACAACCTACTGATCTAAAAATGATTTACACCTGATGGTTCTCATGTGTTCTCACTGTAACTGAAGCTGGTAGGGCCAAGCACCGACTAGATCACAACAAATCTTTTTTTCTTTTTCCCCTGAAATCATTTTTCAGAGGGTACGTAAGGCTACATGATTACAAAGGTAGACTTTATGAAGCCCCCGCTGTGAGAGGGTCAGCGCGCCGCGATAAGTTACCATCCGGGGCTTGTGACATTGTCTGTGAAGTCCTAATAGTTATTAAACACACTTGGTATTTTCATCAGTGGAATCCCAGTGTGAGCGATCAAATGAAAAGGTCATTCTGGCCAATGTCGAGACAAAAACTGCACCAGGTAATGAGAAGTCCCCTGACAAAATTACATCTAGGGGGGCCTAGGATTAATTAATGCAAAGATGTGAAGAGATTTTCTCACCTTTGGCTGAAATGCTCCTTGCAAGGAGCTGAAAGGCCCAGCAGGAGGAATCACAGGCTGGATACTCGGCACTGGGGGTGGTGGGTATTGTTGAAAGAACTACCACAACAGACACACACACACACACACACAGTTTAGTGACCACTGAACAAGTAAATTAAATCAATGCTGTATGGTACCCTTTAAATTGTGTTATTGTTTCAGCTGTCTAAGGACCTAAAATAGAGAAAGTTATTCTCCACCTTGTGGTTTTATTATCTAATCTGTAAATTATTGTCACCCTCATAAATCCGTAAGGTTACACAAAGTACTCACAGGGTGTCGGTACAGCCCGTCCATTTTTCCGGGATACTTATCAAACTGAAAAGACAAAAGCAATGCGTGGGTTAAAACATCTCAAAAAACACATTCCAGTCACACTGGAATTTCAAGTACGACGCAGATGTTCAGCATAAGAGCAGAGAGCATCTCACCAGAGGCGGTGCGGTAGCTGTGGGGTGCAGGAATGAAGGGTGTGTGAAGTGGTGGGTGTGCGTATGTTGGTGCTGGTGGTTGTGTTGATGGAACTGGAAGGCCAGGGGCTGTACGCTCGGCTGGTTCTGAGACGTCCGGCCTGATGAACCCGGTGCGGAGCCAGATGTTGATGGACCACCAGGAGTGGAGCGGCCTGCAGCTGCGGCATTATTGTCAGCCCCTGGGACGCTGCGTCTGCCCTCGCGCTCTTGCGAATTCAAGAAGTGGGAGTTTAAGTTTTGACGCATCATTTCCTGATCTATAGTGGAGGGTGTCAAGAAAAGGGAGAGAAAATAAATAAAGTTAATTCACATCATAAATCATACCCCTGATTGGCATAAATAGTTTACAATGTTCATACATTATATTGCCTGCTTTTACCACATGACAGACTCAAGAATAATTATTTATTTTTAAAAAAAAGGTGCTACTAATTTCCAAACACAATGCAACATGCAGCTTCTGCTTTATACAACAAATGTAATACATGTAGAGCTGATGTGATCACACTTTCATCAATACACAACTTCCTCAACACCCGGACGAACCCAGACAACTGCCAGAGGAAGTCTGGGTTTGGTTTATTTTAGTAACGTTTTAGTCATAACTGAAAGAGAGCGGCAGACAGTAGCAGCAGTGAAAAGAAGCATTCCTGTTGACTGTACCTGCTGCTGTTGAGTGGGCAGGACCTTGTAGTAGAGGTGGAGGGGGAGGCAGGCCAGGTGAGGATGTGAACAGAGCACCAGAGTTGGCACGGGATGGGGGTCGGAGGGGCCCTGAGGTTCCTGAGCCCCTCATGTAGGGCAGGGACACACTGGTGGAAGGAGTCGGGGGACGCATGGAGGATGAGGAAGATGCAACAGATGAAGCAGCTAAGGGAGGTTTGACTGGGGTGCTGCTCCTGAGATGAAACAAAACATTAATAATGAATCACATTTTCCATTTTTGGCACTCAAATCCAATCACAGAAAAATAATTAAGCCAAGAGGGGTTCACTGTTAAAAACAAAAGAACAAAAAGAAAATAATCCTCCTCATTTACATACCTGTTGTAGATGGCGTGAGATCGTCCAGGGAAAGTGAGGAAGGGTTTGGGTTTGGAGAGTGGGGGGCTGCCGTTGTGGCGGCTGCCGTTACCATTGAACGGGTTGTGACGGGGGACCCCGCCTGAGGGGGCGACCGGGTGGGAAGGCAGGCAAGAGAAGGGGGTTGAAGAGGTAGAAGAACCACCGGGCTCTGGGAAATGCTGCTCCAAGTTTTTCTCCTGGCTTCGCTCCAGGCCAGATACTCTCGGCGTCACCATCAACCGTGAGATGCCACCACAACGGGCCAGTAGAGGCGGGCAGCTTTTGCCCATGGATGTGCCCATGTTTGAGGGGGCTTGTTCCAAAACTACAGAGGAGAAACAACATAAGTCAGCGTTTTAGAGTAAACATGAGAAACATATGTAGAGGGAAACCATGGAAATTAATTTGCACTACACCCATACCATGGAATACCAAACACCTGATCTTTCAAGTCATGCTGTATATGTAAGCTGTGTATTCTGATCCTTTCATATTTGCAGATAATTGACTAAAATCATCGCCAGTGTCCCATTTAATCAGAATATAATGTCTTAAGTATTAAAGCAATCTCAGCTACTTTAATAATTTTCTGTTAAGATCTAAATATAGGCTTGTGAGGGCCCGTCAACTGGCACATCAGATCAGGAAAATAAAGAAGTCGATGGGCAGAACTGAATTTCTCATACCTTTCCGAGTACTGACTGTGAACACTGGGTCCATGTCATTGTCAGACGCCTAGATGGGAACACAAAACAAAGATTTAATTTAATCTATACTCAACAAAAGCTAACATATTCATCTGTAATTTCTTATACCATATAAAGATGTTAAATAACAGGGATATCATACTTATTTATATATTATATCATATTTTAAATGTAAATGTTTCTATTTCTATGTATGCTTTTTTTCCCCCAGATCATTTTTTATTTTATTAATAAAATCTCTTTAGAAATGTCAAACAAATGATTTGAGTTTATTTTTGAATTCCCATTCAACAATACTGTCTGATGTTTCCACCAAGTGATGGCAACAAAGTTGACAAAGCGTGACAAGCAGTACGAACTGTGTTAAGTGTCACACATTCACTAAGAAAAACCTGTGATTAATATTGATAAGAGAACAAGTTAGCAGTACACACCTTGTCTCCTGTGTCACTCTCAGTGTCACACTAAAAGAAGAAAAGGTGGGGAAAACAGTCAAGAGTTGCATTTGTTAGAATATTTCAGGCAGTTTGCAGAAACACGGCACAGTGTTGCAGGACACTGATACAGCAGAACATCATGTTCCCTAAAATATTAGAAAACTCACAATGTAGCCAGTCTCCAAAGGATGTCCCTAGAAAGTAAAACAGTGTATTAGCTCCAATGGTTTTCAAACATTTAGATCATTTACAGTGATTTAACTTTTAAAAAAAGGTCAAATATCTTTCCTGGTTGTAAGGAATCACCCTGCGCTGCTTCATTAACAAAAACGACCTTGAATGATGTGTGTTGTAAACCAGTTTTACAAGGTCATTTTAAACGGCAGTATGTACAGGTCACCAGCAGTACAGATATGTAAACATATCTATTTGATTTAGAATTAGCTCGACATCTCATATGACAAGATGAAGGAAGATCCAGCCAACACATTAAAGCTCAGTAGAGTCGTAACACGGTTCACCTCTATCCGCCTTCTCTTATTTCTACTCTTGTTCCAACAGCTGCTGGAGTAGCTGTGCGGGGCTCCTTCCTCCGGCTCTGACAGCGGACCTCCACCATTCTCCTCCGGCCCTCTCTTCCCCTTGCTCCTCCTTCCCAGCATATCAGTGCGCTGACTGGGCTTCAGAGAGCAGTCCATCTGATAAGGAGATGTGGAAAAAAAAAAATTCTGTGTTTACCAATAAGCATGACGTGCACGCCAGAGGGCAAAGACCATAGGCTCGATACATGGTGATTAATGTCCTGACAGACCTAATTTGTGCATAGTTTCTACTCTGAGTGATCGCAAAAATAGAAACACAGGAATGATGTAATGCAATACAACAGCCTGCATCAGACTATTACTTCAGCTGTTTGCATGCACACTCACTCATATAGTGCGTTTTGGGGTTGACCTGTACTGAACTTGACTGTGATATTTGGTCCACCACACAACTTAAAGCCTAAATAAATGAGTGTAAAGTTTAATCAGCATCTCTCTGACAAACATCCATGATAAAATAAAACCATATCTACATCAAGGGGGTCAGAAGATAAATCTGAGGAGTTGTGAGATGATTAACAAGTTAGAAAAGAGAAATAAGCATCTCCGCTACACAAAATATGTAAAGAACTTGACAAGAGTTTCAAAAAATGTATTTGGCTTCAACTATTATTATTATTATTATTAATTTATTTATTATTGTGTTAATTATTCCTTTTGATTTGTTTGATTGCATTTTTTATTGTTGGATGTTTCTGTTTTAAATATATTCAAAATACACTTAAAACACTTAATAATAATAATAATAATAATAATAATAATAAAGAACAATAAGAAATTATTATTAAATTTGTTTAGTGGTAAAAAAAAAAAATGTAGCAGAAGTTAAAAAATAAAAATAATAAAAATAACTTTAAAAGAGTATTACCTCTCCAGGCCCCCCAAAAATAAATAGAATGAAACAATTTAAAAAGTGAAAAAAATCCCTATTTGGTCAAACTGCTCATAGACATTATCAGTGATGAGGGGTTGTGAGTAGACGATGCTTGGCTATAAAGGGTCACAAGCTCAAAAGGTTAGGAACCAGTGACCTATATGCAAAGACAGTTTGAGTACAGAGTGGTTCTTCAAACCCAAGACAGTTTAAGAAAAACAAGGTGACTAAACTATTTAGTGAAATGTATATCCAAATAAAAGACATGTACATGGAGTAAAACAAGTGCAAGTGTAAACTTAAAATGACCACATATTGTCATTATTCTGTTTGGTAGACGGGTTTGGTTGGATCCTTCAAAGTTATGAAGTTTGTGTTGTTTATTATAGAATAATACTGACCCTAAAATAGATACTTGCATTTGGAATAAAGAATAAATACAACTCAACATGAAGATTGTTGTTTTTAAATAAATTATATTTTACAGAATAACTTCGGGCAGTTACTGTTAATAAATTCAGGCAGGAAATTTGATGTTCACATAAAAGGAAATTGCCACATTCCACCAGTAAACACTGTTGTTTTTGCTTCAGATAGTAACCAACCATCAACCTTAGCATTCACTGGCTCATTTGACTGTAAAATCAAGTTACCCAGAAGAACAGAGGAACTGTATGAGTGCGTTTATATAGGCAGTTTTACAACATAAGGTACTGATAAATAATTTGATATCCTGTTCAAAAGCACCAGATCCACCCTGACAGCATTTTAACTAATATTAGAGATTATTTCTCCTCATCCGAATGTTAACTGTGTCTCGTCAACATTGTGTAAATATTTATATACATATATGTATGACTGTTTGATGATACTTCACACTTACTGATTTCTTCCCTGCCTTGATGAATAGACAACAGACCTGACTGAGCAAGTTAGGAATTAAAAAGGTATTAGGTGAATAATCACTCCTGTTGAGTAAGAGACAATTAAGCTTTTTCTAGCGGATTAGTTTTTTTGTTCTTTCTCTAAAAGGCCATTTAGCAGCTCATCAACACCTTGTTGAATTAGAACATGAATAATTTAGGCCACTCCAGAGCCATCAGAGGGATGCCTTGAGGTTTGGGGTTGCCTGAGTGGATTGCTTTCTCCAAGCAAGGGATGGTGTCAGAGTTCGGGGAGTTAAATCTGCAGCTTTTTCACACCTTTAGCTGGAGGGAAGAAGGATTTGACGTGAAGGAGAGAGTTAAGAGGATGTCTAAGTTTTAATCTCGCTGCTCTGTATACACACACAAATGAAATTCAATTAGGAGGAAAGGGATGATCCAGCTGCCTGCCACGCCATATTAAAGAGTGATCCATCACTTAGTTTACACTCATGTAGAAAGTAAATGCTGTTTGATGAAATGACAGCTGTAGACATTTACCTCCAGTGCCTCCAAGCTGATAAAGCTCGCAATGGAGAAGCCATCAATGATGTCTTCCTCGCAGGACACAGACTCTCTCTTCCTCCGACGTGGAGGCCTGTGTCTCCCAAAACCGGGCCGGCATTCTCTCCCACCGGGACCCAGGATACTGTTTGTGCCACAAGCCTCCCGATCGGAGCCTGAGGACAGGGATGTGGCCCGCTCGTCGGCCAGGTTTACTCTCCTCCTCCGCCGCTCCCTGTCGCGCTGCGAACGGGACCGTCGGCTCTGCCTGAATCCAGTGCTCCGGCTCTGGCCCTCCATGTTGAAACGGCACCTTCTTCTGTAACTCCAGTGACACCAAAGGCACTTTATTCAAGTCCAGGTCCGGTGGGAGGCACCGAACCGCAAATAAAACACCACTACACAGGCCCCTCGCAGGGAGAGCCCCTGTTAAAATGGCGTTAATGGAACCAGTGGTTATTATTTACCGTCCTTTGACAACAGTCTATCGGCATCAGCGCCTTTCTTTCGGCGAAATTTTAGTGTCATCTCACAACTTAGATCCTCACGGGAATTTTAAAACATCCACGACATACACAAATGTCAGGACATAGCAGTTTGTGGCTAACCTTTGCTAGCTAGCAAGGAATTTAACCCGACAACCGAATAAGGTAAACGCATGTAAACAACAAAAAAAAGAAAAAAAAAAGAAAAGACAAGTTGTGTTGCTGACAAAACTAAATCGCTTAGGGATAAATTTCAAAGTTAAGCTCACGCCGACGATGCCATTGCTCAATACAATTCTCAAAGATTTCCTAAAAATTTCTGCACACGCTGACAAATGTATTTGCCTGTTAGCAAAAATGTACAATTAGCTAAGTTAGCAAGGCCAGAACCCAAATATCCGACACTAACACCCAAGTGGCCGTGACATTATTTCGCGTAAATGTGAATTATTGTTGGCAGCTAATGTAAATTACTCCCAATGTGAGGAGTAACGTTAAACGAGCTGAGTTAAAGTAGGTAATGCTAATGCTAAGGTAACGTTAAGTAAGTGTTGACTCCTCCAGCAAATTAGCTTCTTTTGCTCATTTGGTTAGCATGAACACGGCTAACTCAATACAGTACAATATATTCAGCCAGCAAACCTAAGAATAACACTCTATTCTTTAAACGTGGCTGTAAAGAGACAAGCCGGACAGTTCACCATGAAGCTAACGAATAATCCGCGGCCACGATAACTGAATTTCCTCCTGCCGACATGTTGATGGCCGATAGAAATGGTTGAATTCACATCAAAAGAAAGACGTAACGTTAGCATGTATGGCTAGCTAGCGTTAGCCGATCCAGCTGTTAGCTAGCTAAGCCACAAACAAGGACCTTTTAGTTTTTTTGTTTTTTTTTTAAAGGAAGCAGAATTTTTTTTGCAAGCAATCGCCCGTAGATTAAAGATATATCGCTTCTTTTACACACACTTCGTCTTTCGTCCCACCTCCATCATAAAGAAAAAAAAATCAAGGCCCAAATATGAAAAGCCTCGGTGTCGATTTCCATAAACGAGGGTGTCGGCCAAGCCCCCGTCGGGCTGGTCAGCTCCTTCATGCAGCCTTCACTGTGTGTAATCCAATGTTTAGGATTAGTTGGACCACTCGCAGACGTTTCCGGTCAACGATTTCGTATACTCACTAAATCCAGTGTGCGAATACATGCGAGGGAGAAGCAGACGGGTTACTGCTGCTGCTGCCCTTTCACAAGTTTCCACTGAATTGGAAATATATCGTGAAAATCAGTGAGACACAACCCTTGTCAGCCGTGCAGTGCATTGTGTGCGCCACTCTTCTTCCTCCGTCACCAAACTGGTTGTTGGTAGCTCTGCTTGTGCATACTGCCACCACGTGGAAAACAATGCTCCACTTTGTCTATTAGGTGGCTTTTTTAAATTAATCTACAGTGGTGAAAAGTACCCTACTGTTCAAAGGCTTGGGGTCATTTAGAAAAGTCCTTGTTTTCAAAAGAAAATACCATTTGGCCATTAAAATAACATCACATTCATCAGGAATACAGTGTAGAAATTGTTAATGTTGTAAATGACTGATTTCTACTGGAATATCTGCAGAGGCGCGTAATCAGAAACCACCAGCCCTGTGATCCAGTGGCAAGTTGTGTTTGCTAATCCAAGTTTATCATTTTAAAAGGCTAATTGAACGCTAGTCTCAACATCAACAATGAAGAGGTGACTCCAGGATGCTGTGAGTTTAAAAGAAAAGATTAATATTTTCTTTTTATTGGCTGGTCTGAAATATGGCTTTTGCATTCTGCCACCATGAGGAAACAAATTCTCCCCAGCTAATTTGTCAGCTTTTTATTTATTTATTTACAGTGGTGGAAAGTACATTTCTACTTCTTCTTCTTTTGTGTTTATTGGCAGTTGGCAGGAAAGTACATTTTCATCACTTCCCAGGAAACTCAACAAACGTAACCTATTGACCTCAGGTGAAGATACCAACGATGGTCGTTCAGTCTTGGCCACAGGTAGTCTTAACGACTGTAACGACTGTCGTCACAGCAACAAGGAACACTAATGAACCAGCGGTATCGATGACCCGGGATAACGACCCCACTGAGGTTAAATAGCAGAGTTTCCCTGCCAGTCAGTCAGAACTGAAGAAGTCCTTTGGATGAGGGACGAAACGTCTTCCAGTATCTTCAACCAAGTCCAGTTGCCCTTGACTTTAACCTTCGTTGGATACATTTACTAAAGTACTGTACTTAAATACTTACTTTACCCCTACACTGTTGCTGTCTACGGTACCCAGTTGTTCAGAAAGTTTATTCTGCATCCGGATTAAACTTTTTGAAAAACTGGGCCAAGATGTTGTTGTGTTTTTGTACACTGTAGTTTGTGTCTGTGTTTGGTTATGCCTGTTTTGTGTATATACACTGAGAGTAACGCTAATGTTTCAGACACTCCGCTCCAGCAGGAAGATGCACACCACACCACAAGAACACTTTCTTTCCATCTGCAACCAAGCCTCCTCAACAAGGCCCAGGTCTGTCACTGACTCTCATGCCCCCGACCACCACACTTGACCCCAAGCAACAACACACAACTTTGAACTTCATTGCGTTAATTCGAAAACATTTTTGATCTATTTACTTTTTATAAATTTATGTTATGTGTATTGTTAAGCACCAATATATACCAAGGCAAACTCCTCGTATGTGAAAATGTACCTGGCAATAAACCTGATTCTGATGTAAAACTGGGGTCAAATTCCTTGTATGTGCACAAAACCTGGTGAGCCAGACCTGATCACCCAACATCAGTGTTGGACCTCACTGGTGCTCTTGTGTCTAAACGGGTGCAAATTCCTGCAGCAGGTTCCTACAAAGTTCTTTTACTGTTCAAATATATTTTCTTCTCCCTACATGACGCTCTGTGATGTTTCAAATCTTTTCCACAACACCAAAGATTCCTGGTAGACCATTTATTTTCTGCCAACAAATCTGACATTATGGACTGGATTATGGATAATTTAAGTGTATTTGTAGAATGTAAACTCCCCAAATTTGGCCCTGGCTCTGTGGCCCAAACACAGAAGAACAGGTCAGAAATATATTCAAAACATGACAAATATGTGCAAAGAGTCTTCATGATCATGTATTATTTTTTTCAAAATAATAAAATCCGACTGTGTATAGACTTCACTGTAATGGCCATGCAACCAGAGTACATTAAAATAGTTTTTTTTATTCAGCAGAAAAGACATACAGGCAGACCTATGACATATATATTTTTTGTTATTTCAAGTGAGCAACAGAGAAGCATTTTAAAGGATAAGTTATTCTGTATATTTCCAACAAATGTCTAACAAACGTTTCTCCGTTGTCTGCTCTCATTTCCAAGCCCACTGGTTCCTACAGAACATGTAAATCTTCAAAAAATGGCTCACAAATATGTTGTTTAATCTTTCAGAAATGGCTGGTCTCTGTAGTCTTTAGAAAACGTTACTCAATCAGGAGTAAATAGTGCATTTGTTGGGGAATCTTTTCAGCAGCGGATTAATCCACATATGGTGCTCTAGTGAGTATTTGGGGCAGCAGGACGGTGTATGTGACTCAAAACAAACTACAGTGTGTGTGTTCATGGCGATGAAGGAACATGTCAGTGCAACAGTGAGGCTCATTTAAGTGTTTTTAATAGTTCCTGGACAACAATGGAGCTCTGTGGCACAGAGGGATACAATATATCCGGCTTTGGAAACACACACACACACACACACACACACACAATAGTCAATGCATTGTTGGTTTCAGTATTTTCATGAAACTTGTTACAATAAGAAAAATATATAGAATATCATCAGCCTCATCCTTTAAAGCCACTGATGAAGAAGTAAAGTGAATTGTTCGATTTCATTTACATCAACATGTGATTCTGTTGTTGGTTAAATCTCCGTCCGTTAGAGTACCGGCAGATATTTAGGGAGGTCATCATCTGGTCGACCTCCTGGAGAACAGCAGAGAGTGCAGAAGAATGCCTGCAGCTACAGAGACGTTGAGAGACTCTATACCGGGGAACAACTCTCTGCCAGCTGGGACGGTGAGAAGGGTCTGGCACAGAGACAGCAGCCCCTGGGACAGTCCTTCCCCCTCACCCCCCAGCAACAACAATGTTGGTTTGGTCATCTGAAAGTCTGAACACTTGGTGACAGGAATCTGGGACGCCTCTGCTTCAGCTCCCACCGTGCCAACCACCTGCCAGCCCTGTGTCACCTTTAGCTTGAGCATATCTTCAAGATTTTCATACCCATACACCCCAATCACCTCCATGACACCTGAGCTGGCTTTGCTGACCACTGGAGACAGAGGACAAGTGTAGCGAAGGCTGCTGGCGACTCTGTCCACACCCAAGAAATAAGCAGAGCGTAGGATGGCGCCGAGATTCATCGGGTCCTGAATTCCCTCCAGGACGAGCCAGAGAGGGGTGGTGCCGTCTTTTCTTTTGGGGGCAGAGTCTCTGTTTTCGGTGAGATAACCCAGAGGACTGGCTTGCAGGCATACGCCTTGATGTACTCGCCCAGAGGAGATCTTGTCCAGATCTTTCTTACTGACCCGATGGACTTGTACTCCTCGCCGATGAGCCTCCTCACACACCTTTAACACAGAAGCCCGGTGAGAGGCCTCACCGTCTTTAACAAAAAGTTTACGGGCCTTTCTTCTGCCCTGAGTGAGAGCCAAGAGACAGGGCGCAATGCCAAAAACAATCTCACAGTTCTCTCCTTTGGAGTCCGGTGTTGATCTCTGTCTAGCAGGCCTCTCCCTCTCTGCAGGGAAATCCTCCAGACACAGTTTCCTGAGTTCAGATGACACCCTGCTGTCCTCTCCCCTCCTCTGATTTGGCTCCTGCAACACTGGAATCTCGTTTTTCCACGCTTTACCCTGAACCACCCTCTCACGATCCCGCCATCCATCTGATCCAAGAGGTTTGTGTTGGACACCAGAGGTATTTAACACTCTGCGTCGTCTCTTCCCCACAGGGTTGATGCTGCTGTCCTCTGGGCACAGGAGAGTAGCTGAGACATGGTAAGAAGAAGCAACCTGAGAGCCCACTCTTAAGACTGATGCCGGGTTGTGCACTCTGCCAGACAAAACAAGTAGCAACTTGTGCTGACATGCAACACTGAGTACCCACATATTGAAACAGAGAACTGGAAATCTGAGGCACTAAGAAGGGTAGCTGCCTCAGGGGAATGTGGTTCAGCTGCCTGATACGTCCATTAATCCAAAACTGTTGTGTCAGCAGATTTCACTCAGTATCTATTATCATTTGTAAAGCCTGAGCTGTTAAAGTGTTGCCCTTGTTTAACCATCAACTTCTTCTATAGCCGTCCTTACCTGATATGTTTCTGGCCTTTACCCGGAATACGCACACGTGCGAGCCAGCTGCCTAAAGCAAGCGAGATTATGGCCGGATGTCAAGCGATGGTGCCTCTAAAATAAAAGCACAACGTTTGCGATTTCTGTTTAAACAAAACTTTGTTCAACAAAGTAAAACATGCACGTTCTACATCAGGCACAAAACAAATACACAACATATCCAAGATAACATAATCATCTGTTTAATAATAAAGACATTTATACTTTGAGAATTTAGAATAAAGAATAAATGCAAAAATATAATAGAATGCATGTCAAGCTAAATATTCATAAACACAGGTGGGTTAAAAAGGTAAATAAAGAGAGGAAGGCTATTCACTTGTAGTCAGTGGTTTCATCAAAGATATTTATACAGTGCTCCTATTACTTTTGTATTGCTTGTAAGAGGTTTGTAAATGAAAATGTTTAGCTTACATACATTTATTTTATTATACATTCCTCCTAAACTAGGCAATATCGTTTCCTTTTGCATTGGCATGTCATTAATCAGAGGTGGAAAGTAAATGTGTAATTAAACGTACTTGTATTTGCTTGGGCAACTTTTTACTTTCACTACGTATTACTGTCAGAGGAAAATGTTAAACTTTTTGCATCTAGTTGGCAGCTTTAAGTTTCTTTGCAGATCAAAATCAAGCACACAAAATATATAATGAATTTCTTAAATGTGATGCATTGGCATCATTACATCATATTTTACAGCAGTAGCCTACTGTATGTAAATCTCAATTTAGACCCAACTTTTGAATCATCCAAGCTGTAGCCAGGATTTTAGAAATAATGAGGTCATGAGTCCCGAAATACACCTACTACCAACATGTTTTTAAAATATTTGGATTTTCTATTTAATTTTAGTAGCCAGTAACTACTAACTGTTGATATATGTTTTTTATTTCCCAGCATACAGATCAAAATCCTGTTTTAAAGCCTTTTGCACACTGCAAGGAATAACAAATCCTGAATCCTGGGCATTGTTTCTTTATTTATACTTTCATTTATTTAATGTTGATAAGTTGAGCAGTTTTATATATTTTAGGTGACAAAACCTGTTTAGATTCTCCATGTAAGTTACCGTAGAGGCACAGACATCAATACCCAGCTCCAGTTCTTAATTAACACATTTTTTCTCCACCTAATAATTATCACATTTAAGTATATTCGGTGTAAACATTCTAGGATCAGACTGTAAAATAACTACCATGTGTAAATTCCCACCTACTGAGAACACAACCACAGTGTACTCAATAATAATGATATTATTATTATTATTATTATTATTTAATAATAATCATCATCACGATCATCATCTTTACTTATCGACCCCTTTTAAAACCATGTTACAAAGTGCTTTGACAAGTGAAAATACAATAAAACACATATAAAATAGATACAAGATACATGATGAACAAGATACAAGATAAAAGCAAGAAAACACTTAAGAACTAAAAATACAGTTAAAAGAATTGTTTTTTATTAAATAAACTAAAATCAGGAAAGGCTCTCCAATAAAAGTATGTTTTAAGAAGGGATTTAAAAGAGGTGACGGACTCAGCCACCCTGATTTGGTAGCTATACAGCTTTCAAAGTGCCAATAGAGCCTAATAGAATAGCCTTTTTGTAATAACTTGTGTGGCTAATCAGAAAAGAAAAGTTTTGACACTTTTGAATGCAGGACTACACAGGAATACAGGAGTATTTTTATATTGTGGTTTCACTCCTTGTGCTAAATTGCAGAACTCACTTGTTTTTGAATGAAGCTTTTATTTTGAAAGCTGTCACTCTCGTGCATAGACTGTATGAGAGAGGAACTTCACGCCCGTGACGCCGGACGTCTATTTATACGTACGCGATTACGTCTTTCCCGGAAGTAACCCATCGCAACACGGAAGTGTAGGAAAGAAAACAAATAATCGTTCAAATTTGTGTTGAGTTGAAGCCGGAGAAGACGCCCTAAACACCGCTTATCTTCTGGATTACCGTCTTTTTTTTACTCCAAGCTTGTGACACGGTGAGAGGAACACACTGCGGGGTTGTCTGGTGCTGGTGGGGCTAACGGCTAACGTTAGTCCTGGAAGATGTTGAGGCAGGTTCAGGAGCTAAAACACGGCTGAAAGGACACTTTAGATTCGTAACAGGCCTCAGGTCACATAACAAACTGCTGAGTAATATTGTCCAGCAAACAATGAGGTCATTGGCAGGACAACGTGGCCGAAACGGGGTTAGAAACTGACAGAGATGTGTAAAAATAAAACTGTCAGTATCGCTTATTTTCCAGGTAACTTATAAAACCTTTCCACAGAAAAGTTAAAATCTCTCCACTTTCTCACAGCTACATAGCGTCTAACATCACAGTACATTACACTACTGTGTAGTATGTGACAAGGGCTTCGACAAACTATCGCTGTCATCATCTATAAGTATTTTGTCGAATAATTGATCATTTAACTGACGTCCTGAAATCTTTTGGCAAGCTCCAGCACAGCTGTCTCAAATGATCAACTCATCAAAACCCCTGATAGCAGCTTTAAAAACAAGCTGATTTAAATGTTTTATTTGTACATAGATAAATAAATACTTCCAAAGCTACAATTAATGACAAAACAATGTCAAACTATTTCTGTAAATTGTCAAGAAGAATACACTAAACACAGATTTAGTTTAAAAAATAAAATAAAATCTTGCCTCAAATAATATCTTCTAAAAGAATAAATGAACAAACTACGAATCTGACTAACTCTCGATAATTTTTTGATATTCTGTGCTATGAACACATTTTGGTTGAGGTTACTAACCACTATTTTTATTGTCAGTTAATCTGTTGTTTATTTTCTCGAATAATCGAGAAAAGTTGTTTCGTCTATAAAATGTCAGAAAAATGGCAATTGAAGTCAAAGGTGACGTCCTCAAATGTCTTGTTTTTGTCCACAACCCAAATAAATATATAATACTCTTTTTCTTAAATTACTCAAACCAATTAATTGAGTATCAAAATACATGGCAAATAATTTAATAGGTGACAAGTAATTAATAAATCTTTGCAGCTGTAGTTTTATGCCACTCGAAACAATCACATATACACTCAAAAAACCTTTCTGAAGATGTGGTAGCCCTGTTTGACCTATACGGACACCTTGCCGTATTAAAATATTTTAAAAAAATCAAAACATTGCCTCTTGTTGTTTTATGTTGTATTTGTTTAATTGACTACCATCTGTTCCTTTTGAGTAGGATCCTATTTCAGTTTGTATATGGGCGAGACAGAGAGGGGATCTTGTGTCTATATATTTAGCTATATCTAAAATTTGCAATGAAAATATATTCTTTTCCCAAACAGATGGAATTCCTGTTTGGGAAGAGGAAGACTCCGGAGGAGATGCTGAGGCAGAATCAGAGGGCGCTCAACCGAGCCATGAGAGACCTGGACCGAGAGCGAATGAAACTGGAGCAGCAGGAGAAAAAGATCATTGCTGACATAAAGAAAATGGCCAAACAGGGACAAATGGTGAGACTACGGCAAATAACTTGTTTTACGAGTAGAGAATAATTGTTAAAGAGACAGAATCCCAACTGTGATGTGTGTTATTTTAAAACTGCAGGACGCCGTCAAGATCATGGCCAAGGATTTGGTGCGCACACGGCGCTACGTCAAGAAGTTCATCATGATGAAAGCCAACATTCAGGCCGTCAGCCTAAAGATACAGACGCTCAAGTCCAACAACAGCATGGCACAGGCAATGAAAGGTGTCACCAAAGCCATGGCCACCATGAACAGACAGGTCTGTCAAAACGAAACAAAACGCTGTTCGATGGAAGTAAACCATAAGCCTGCTGTGTTGACCATCTCTTAACATTTCCACAGCTGAAACTGCCTCAGATTCAGAAAATCATGATGGACTTTGAGCGACAGAGTGAAATCATGGACATGAAAGAGGAGATGATGAATGACGCTATCGATGATGCCATGGGTGATGAGGATGATGAAGATGAGAGGTAAAGGACTGGTGCAAACCTTTCATTACACAAATGCTTATTAGAATTCATTATAATAATTACTTACTAAAGGAATTATAGACAATCACTATCTGTAATTCCCCCATACACATTAAAAATAGTTAAATAATCAATTATTTTTTTCTTTCCTCTCTACATTCATACAACTGCAGAATCTCGCTTACTCACAGATATCAGTGTACCAGTTGTTTCAGCCCATGTTTGGTTAATTTCTTAAAAGCAGCAACTCTTGTTAATCTGAAGAGGTATTGATTTGATGAAAGAAAGTGAGAGAAACTGTTTCAGTCCGAAGTAATTGTTCTGCCCTGAAAGAGAGAGATTTTGTGAAACAAAGTAAGAGAACAATAAACGCTACCCTCCCCAAACGTTCGCCAACAATTTGAAATGACCTCCTGAGTTGCATTATGGGAAGTGTTGAATCCAACATTTTAGGAGCTTGAAATTCAGGATATGCTGCATCGATTTTCGTCTCCAGAAGTCCAAAAAATTTAAGGAAGTGCAACCCAAAATTTGTGACTGCTATTAGTTTTGACCTTTTTATGATTCACCCTCCACAATCTGATTATAATTAACCCAATATATGTTTTGTAGTCCTTTTGATACACTTGTGTCTGTGTCTCTTCTTCACGTACAGCGACGCCATCGTGTCCCAAGTGCTGGACGAGTTGGGTCTCAATCTGTCCGATGAACTGTCAAGTAAGAAACACTTCCGAGCACAAATCGTGAAAATTCATACATGTGCTCCTCGTCTTTGGTCTGGAATTTTACATTTTGTTATATCATTGCATGAGCATCGTGTGTTCATTTCAGATCTTCCAAGCACCGGAGGAAGCTTGTCGGTGGCTGGGAAGAAGGCCGAGCCTCAACCCGCCCTGGCCGACGCAGACGCCGATCTGGAGGAGCGACTGAATAACCTCCGGAGAGATTGAACACATTGTTACTGTCAGACAAGCGCACTGTGGCGAGGTTAATACAAACATACTCGAATCTCTGTGTTTAGATTCTTTTGAAGGTATAACTGGCAGAACACCGGCTGTTTCAGTAAACGGCCTGTGTTTATAAAGGTATATGGCTTTCTGTTTGAGGTGTTCTTATTTTATGAGTGTATTATGTATTTTATCAACAAAAAAAAAAAAAGGATTATTCTCTGTAGGTCTAGAAAACGATTTGTCTCATTTAAGACATTGCCAAATGACAAATTCTCTGAAAAGTGAAAATTTATTTCACTGTCTGTACAAATACTTACTCCTCCAAGGAATGTTTTCACACTTTAAATTAACACTAAAAACGAAGAAGCCAAATGAACGATTGCAACATGGGAGAAGTGGATATTTTAGATGTGTGACGCATACAAATGTCAGCACTTTTTGTACATCAGGTTGGTTTGGCGTTCTTTGTATCCACATTTATCATATAAATATACCGTTTTAGCCCTGGTGTAAGGTTTTTGAAGACTTTTGCTTATGTTTATTTGTGGGCCGTCAAGTTTTAGCTGACGATGGTGTACAAAAAGTGTGTTATCTCAACATCTTTTGTGTCTAAATTCACTAATAGGACGGTTTATATTAGAAAAATATATAATGGAGGGGATGAAAGACAAAGAAAGAAAGGTATGCTCAGCTGACTAAGTGGAAAAAGCACTCCTGTGTACTTCCTGGCGACCATTAGTCAGTGGTGTTTTTGAGATAAACAGGATTTTCACCAAAACGTGAATATGGGTGGTGTTTATTTTTGAGATAATGTCCTGTTTTGCTTTTCTTTATTCAATAAACATTTTTTCAAGATTTAACTAACTGGTTGTCTGATTAGAAACTTTCACTCAACCTGTGAAAACGGTTGCCATGTTTTCTGTGACTCCGGAGATTTTGTCGAGTCACGGAAAATAACGCTGTCAGGTCATCATTTATCACACGTCTGCAGGTGTGGCATCGGAAAGACGTAGGTGTTCACCGGGCAGGGAGTGTCTCATGGCAGATGCTATCTACTTGCATTATGGGAACTGTAGTATCCAATGTTTTTGGGGCTTGACCGATGCTGAGGACATCTAGTCAGTCTTGGCCTTTGCTGCTTCATAAAAAGACTGTTCACCTTATAATAGTTTATTTAATAGACTACAAAGATCATATCCGTGATAGGAGTGTTTTCATGTAAACCTATTACTGATCCTAGCTCAGTTTTATTTCTTCACATGACTTTTTTTGCTACTTGGAAAAACACAAATCTACACAGAAATACATTAGACCAAGTTGCTGAACACAGAAGTTACAACTAAAGCTGCTATACTGGTCAATTTCAACCAAAACTTAAGAAATTGCCGTTTAGAAAAGCCAAAGATATGTAATAACTAAATCTAAAGGGTTCCTATCAAAACGGTTTTATTTATATTAAAAGTATTATATTTTTGAAAACTCAAATATCGATATCAGCCTCAAATCATCTTCTGCTTGTTCTGGCGCACCGAAAACTCACACAACCAAATGCAAGTATCAGACAAGTTAATTTTATTCCAAAAAAATTTAACTTTCAAAACTGTCAATTTGTCCACATACAATCATAGAATATTGAATGTACTCAACACTTCCAACATTAAATAATAAAAAAATAACAGGCATGTTTTATGTACATTTGTTTCTGAAAGCTATGTACAGAAAAAAAGATTTACTTTGTATTTCCCAAAATCTGCCTACACATACATACACCTGGCAGTTGAAGCTGCAGAAAGCCATATTGCATCATATGTAAAAAACAGGTTGGACAAATGCACCGAGGAAGAGAACACGGGCAGAAATGAAACGCTGCGATTGTAACTGAGATTAACTCAGAAAGGGAGAGATTAACTGGCAGCATGTTAAAGAGCGTACTGGTGAACATCGCTAGAACTACAGCTAGAAAGCTTATTTATCGTCTAAAATGGTTCTCTTGAATGTCAGTTAACTGCATCCTTGAAGAGAACAATGCGTACACATAACTTGCCTAGTATTTACTGGATGTAAGCGTATTGTAAAGATTGGAAACACGAAAGATCAAAACTGTACGTTGTTATCGGATTAAGCCTTTATGAAGAGGCTGAACGCAGCGGTTCCCACTGAACATAGCAGCCAAAAGTCATGCTTTCAAGAATAATATCTTGTAGTTTTTGTAGCCCAAATGAGCAGAGTATTCTCCATTCTGGGGTTATGCCATGCTACCATCTTTTGAAACGGCTAAATAGAGTTCATGCAACTCACATAAAAAAAAAAACAACTAAAAAACAAAAAGAAAAACAAACCAGGGTACAGAACACTGGGTCTCAAGCCAAGGTTACCACCCGTCTAAGTTTCTGTGCCATTGTTTTCATAAAGCAAACCACGAACACCTAACAATCATTTGGTTGCTTTTCTTAATTTTTTTTTCTTACATTAGATTGGAAAGAACCGCAATTTATTAATATATGAAACCATGCTGAGTGTGGCTCAAAACTCCCAATATCACACTTAACATTGATAAAATCTTATTTGAAGTTGTGTGCGAACAATATAGGCAATACACAGCACGATACAGTCAGATTGTGACTTCTTTTTTTTTTTGCCCCACTCAGGCAGAGAGGAGGAGTGTGGTAGGACTACCCAGAACAAAAAGTTGCAAACATATTGCTCATGACGTGTAGTTCAAATTCTACTTTTCATTCAAAATGCCCCACATGAATACACTCAAGATTAGTGTCCAATCTATCCCGTCAGCTGACTGCATAAAAAGTGACAGGAACTCCACTTTTGTGTGTTAAAATCAACTTTGGATGGCACAGCTGCTGCAAAATGGGTTTTAAACATGTTACAGGACATGCACATAACTCTGTTGGTTTTTTTAACAATACAAACTGATGTGTAATCTTCAACAGCTGCTCACACAGGGACTGTAATCTTGTGGCATCAGGCATTTATCTCCCTTTCAGATGTGTAAATGAGACCAAAAAGACACCCAATGGAGCAGCTATCTCCCATCCGTCTACATTATTCCGCAGGAGATCAGCTAGTCTGCGGGGACACGCTGAGACCGGAGAATCTCGTGGGCGCCACGTGGGTTTCACTTCCGACAGGTCCGGTGAGGCGTGTGTTTTTTGGGCACCTCGATGCGACATCGGCTTCGGTCATCCAGCCAGGGTAGCTCGAAGTTCCTGGAGAAAGAATGAAACATTTTACTTTTGTTGTACCGTTTTGTTGAGACTTAATTGCCTTCAACTTTAATTGTTGAAAAGCTAATTAGAGTCGGGACAAATTAAAAAGGGGAAAATCTGATAAGTGGATAAACATTTTGCAGGTTCCTCCATACTGGATGGTTTTATGAAATGTGAATCACATCCTATGGTCTTTACAGTCACCAGATCTCAACCCAGCTCAACACCTATGGGAGACGTTGGTGTGATGCGTTACTGTGCATTCAGACCAAACACAAATTGAGGGTTTGGGGCAGCGCGTATACATACAAAGTCAATGCAAATACGCGGAGACACACGATTTCCTGCTGCGCGGTGCGGAGGTTGCAAGTCGGAAGGCGCAACTGAAGATTTTCAATTCTCCATTTCCTCCATCTCTCCATTCAGAAAACAAACACTTAAAAAGTTGTTGTCTTGCTGACAGACCTGACAAAGCATGAATTCATATGTTTAACAAATCCACATCATGTTGTAGTTATTTCAGCATCATTTTGATGCACTTACTGCAAATACATCACTGCAAAATGTTTACTTTGTGTTCATACAACTGTAGTAATCGCGGGTTGTGTTCATTCACATTATCATGTGTGTGAGCACTCAGCAGTAGTCCAGTGATCCTGCGAGGATTAAATTCACATTTGGTCTGAATGCACAGTTAGACAGCGCTCTCCAACATCATCATCTTATGGAAGAATGATGTTCATCCCTCCAGAAAAGTTCAGACTCGGAGAATCTCCGAGGAGCAGTGAAGCGGTTGTGGAGGCTTACTAAGAAACTATATGTTTACCTTTTAATCCTGTCAGCGGGAATATAACCCTTTTGTTATCTTACAGCCAAGGCTAAATTAGAGTTTGTTCAAATGACCAAAATGAGTAAAATGTCTTGCATACATGCTTTTACCAAATAATCTCTTTGGTATACAGCTTTAACCTACTAGCTTACTACCCTTTCCGCAACATGATGCTGACTGCAAGGATAAAAAAATAAATAAAAAAAACACATATGCTGCTCCAACTTACTGTTGTGAGAGTTTGGGCAGCGGCCGGCCAAATGCAACCACGGGCAAGAAGGGAGTGATCACTATAGTTTCAACTGTCAGAAATAAAAGAGTCAAGTTAAAATCTCTCAAATCAGTTTAAAAACATCCCATTAATTTGATTTTATTTGACATTTAGTTATACAGACGTACCATCTTCAGTGTCGGGGTAGAAGGATGAAAGCTCTGGCTCAGTCTCCGGCACGACTTTCTTTCTGTTCATGCGCTGCTGCAAACGCTGAAACATACGCTGCTCTCTGATTCGCTGGATGTCCCATCTGAAAATACAGAAGATTATTTAAAAATGGCACGAAGAGAGACAGAAATCATAGTTACCACCCTCATGTTACAACAGAGCTGGAAAGTCAGATGTTTTCTTTATTGCTGGAACAGATGACTAATTATTTGTAGCTAACAGACTTCACAGAATGCTGTATTTACATGTGTAAATTACTACTTAATTATTAGTTTTCACACTTCAGACCTTGTATATACACATTACAGTAAATAATAAGGGAAAAGTGTAAATATATTTGTGTAAAAGAAATAGTACAGAAGTGCCAATGATGTTTTTTTCCCCCCTCAGGTCTTTCTTAATCTCTATAAAACTGTTTGCATAATACAGTCATGTAACGGGTTTTAACACAGAAATAAAAGTACCTGTAGGTCAATTAGTCTTTCACTATAAAAATGTATTTAATGTTCAATTTACAAGCTTACCCTCTCCACTGCTACTTCATTTAATGTTTATTTTACTTCATCGTAGTTCAGATTTTAAGGTTTTTATCAGTTTCATTTTCTCATCTTTAACATCTAATTTGCTGTTGAAATCATGATTCATTTTCAAATTAAAGCTGATATTTTTGTCCAGAATATCCCTGTCACAACACTTTAATAACCACATTTTACAAAATCCTTAATAATTCTGTTTCATGTTTACCTTTAAAAAAATAAATATTGGTCGATACATTATCATCCTGGATTTTATTAACTCCAATATTCAGTATCAGTCAGTTTCCAGTCACAACTCAAGCACGTATTTATTCAAATCTCAAACAACTTCTGTCAGTGATTTGTACCTTTTCCTCCTCTTCTCATCCAACTCGAGCTTCGCGTGGCGTTTCAAAAACACATTGTCGTCCAGCGGCTTGATGGGTAGACAACGTAACCCGTGAGTTAAATACTTTTGGATTTAATGTGAGCTAACTTTTCAAACTCTAGGAGGTAGAATTATTAGCATGTAAAGACTTAAGATGCGCCTCACCTCAGGCGGGTTAAAGGAGGAGTCCTCATCCAAGGGCTCTATATGATTTTCCCTCCAAGATGGAACTAGGAGGTATAAAAGGAGGGAGAGGAAGTTACTCATAGATAGTGTGTTTGGGGCATTTGATGGATAAAGTGATTAAAGATGGGATATAGGTTAGGCTTACAAACAATCAGCATATCATGTACTACATGAGGAGTCCACTCACTGGCCACCTCTTCCTCCTTTTTAGGGGAAGTCTCACGCAGAGGGGAGAGAGGAGGTTGGTTCCAGCAACAGAGGTACATCTCAGTAGTAGACATGAAAGGCAGATCCTCAATCTGACAGCCCAGGTCAGGCTCCTCTTTGCACTGGAGCACAATGTCCCTTTCTGTCCCTGACTTCATGGGAACTGATTTCTCTGGGGTTTCCTTACTGCGCAGCTCTCTTTGATTGGGCGAGCCAGGCTGAATCTCAGGCTTCTGGGGGCTAAGCTTGGCACTTTTGCCACGTGATTTCTGGACTTTTGCATCTCCAAAGCAGGATTTTCTGTGTGTGCAAAGAAAAGAATTAAGCACTGAAGCTTCAATACAATATGAGAAGACATTCTACATCTTTAACAGAGCAGAGTAGATTACATTTTACTGTGAAAGACCACAATTTCTCCTTTTTGCATGCATTTCATTAATGTGGCTTTATTTAACACGACAAGGCACATGAGCAAAGGCCAGTGCTGTCTGGCACAATTTATTTTACCTCTTTTGACCTTTGCCACCCCGACTAAAGGGGAGTGGAGTGGCTGAGTTTGGCTGTTGACTCTCCTCTACATCCAGATCCCACATGTCCTCCTTGTCAGGGGTCCATGGCTCCAGGGGCTGGAAAAGGCGCTTGTCACGCGGCGGATCCTTCCTTGTGAGCTGCAGGCGACGCTCCATGCGTTCAATGCGTGCAAGAAGCTGCGAAAGAGGAGAACAAATCTTAAATGCCAAAATCAAAACATTAGATACCACATCCTGATTAGGTAAAATACTATTTTACATACCGTCTCCTTGTCTGCTTTGAGCTCATCTATCTCCTTGTCCTTGGACTGCAGCTGTTGTTGCTGTTGTTCAATGAGGTCCAGTTGCAGGAGGAGAATCTGTCGGAGGCAGTTGGCCTGTGTGTGGGGATTAGCAGGGGTCTTCCTGATGTTCCTCCACTTGCCCTCAGAGGAAAGTTCAATGGATGCAGTGCCAAGGACTCCTGGGACAAGCCCCTTCACGCTGTCATCTGCACCGGCATCCTTAGGATTATTGTTCACAGCCATCTGAGGGTTTTCCATGTTGTCAGCAGAGAGGGGTTTACCTTTCACTGGGGTTCCCTCACCCCCCATTTGTCTGACAGGGGACAATATCCCCACAGTTTTATTGTCACCTTGAACTACTCCTGCAACTGTGGCAGCGAGGGAAACTTTGCTTGTCATGTATTTCTGGTCTAAGTCCTTTGATTTGCTCGGGATCTCGCCCCGCTGCACGTCTTGAACATCTATAACAAAGTCGCAGGGCTCCTTCTTGAGGCTCACGGGACTCCCGGCGGAGGCCCCGAAATGCTGCGTTTTGTCAAAGTCGACGGTGTCCGCGTCCTGCTTGAATCCTGTGTTTGGAAACAGTGTGGCTCTCAGAGTCATGGCGACCACGACGACTTTTCATCCTGCAACGCCTCGGCGATGCATTTCACAGCTACCTCCCATGAAAACTTAGCAGCTGCTGTCCTGCAAAACAAAGACAAATAGAGACATTTGTGTTATTGCTGTCCGAGGCACCGTGTCTCTAAAGTGGGAGTTAAATATATGCACTAACTACCAACACTTGGACAACCCCGGAGAAAACTGTAAAACACAAAGTGTGCCTGATCCCGGGCATCCTTTTACTTAAACCGTTCGCCGGGTTTGAAATTCAAGCTAAGCTACATTAGCACAGTGCACAGGCGCTAATTTGGAGACAAACTAGTCCGGTTAGGGAGAATTAAACTCGGTGGTGCGTCAGGGCAGACATTACAGTGCGAGGGCTTCAAACAAGGACTCGGGAGTGGCTGCTGTAGGACACTGGCAGCAGCCATCTCCTCCATTTTGGTTCTCGCGAAATCATGAAAAACAATAACAGCTAGCTAGCTGGCTAACGTCGACCGGCTACTTTAACCGACAAAATGCGTTTCGGGAGAGAAGCAACTGCAACCACCACGTCGTAACACTCATAATCAGACAGACGTGTTTTTACTAACGTGCATTATTTGTGTTTGAAGCCTACCTCGAGTGTAACTCCACCTGCAAGTGCCTTCATGTTCCCTCCTCAAGACTTGTTTTAAAGCGCCGACTACTGCGCATGCGTAATTTGTTGGCTGTCCATTTCTTGTGTTTTGAAGGTTTTGATCCGAAGAGCGCCAGCAGGGGGCGACACGTCTGCAGTCCACCACACATGGCACCGTAATTATGTAATCAACAGGGGGGCAATTGAACATTTACATAACACAAGGACTCACGTGTAATACTACAGCGTAGAAATACTCTGTACTGCATTCAAAGGTACTTAAGTAAGTATCAGCGTATTATCGTGCATGCAGCCTGCTGCAGTTGCTCCCTGCTTGTCTTACAACTTTTTTAGCTCTCTTTCTTTCTTTTTAAAAAAATATTTTTTATTTTCGATTGAAAATATATAATGAGATTATAAACACAAAACATCAAGCGGTACATGTACAAAATAAAGGAAGAGAAACAAGATAGAAAAGAAACAAGAAAGAGGAACAGTAGATTCAAAATAAGATATCATTGGTCCATAAGAAATTTGTCAAGGACATAATTAGTCTTGATTGTCTTTGATTGTGATGCTATATTGATGCAGTTCTGGGTAAAAGTGTCCAAAGTCTGCCCATTTTTTCTTCTTGACTATTTCTTGAGTATATATATATATTTCTTCTCATTTCTTTCAAAACATATAAGAATGTCTTTTTCCAGTTCCAGTTTTCCTTTTTAAGGAAAGTTTGAAAGGGAATCCAACCAAAATATTCTACTTTACATACATTTATAAAACAAATGACAATGAAATTGTTTTTGACAAAAAGTGCAAGAATATTCATTATTAATTCTAAATCTCTCTCAATTATCTAAATCTCTCTACAGTACTTGAGTAAATGTATTTAGTTATATGCCACTACTGATTTGTACATTGTACATTACTACTTTTCTAATAAACCAAAGGTAAGAAAATCACAAACACCACTGCTCAAAATGAGATAATAACCTGAAAGCAGAGTGTTTTCTCATAATAGAAGAGTAAAAACACCTGTAATAAGATAAAATAATGGTAAAAGAGTATTAGGGTATTGGTTTGTAAAATATGAATTTCATTACTACTCTGAAAGGATATGTGTATGTAGACGCCAAGCTGGTGCATTAAAAGTCACCTGACAGCAGGTTGTTTCCACGGCAGAAATGATGCAAACATCCTGATACTGAACATTTCGGCCTACACTTTACACCTTCATCCTCATGTATTAACAACAAACCATTAATTTTTCATACGCTGCTAAAGTGCCACTTTATCATTAGTTTAATGGTCCATGAATGTTTCCTGTGGGTTGTTAACGCAGCACCGACTCTTTAGGAGAGTCAAATCAATTCACTCTCCAAATTCATTATTCCGTCGGTTATCAGTAGTCACCTGTGCATGTGTGTTTCATTAGTGCTTTAATGTGGGGGAAATAAAATGTTTTTCTTGCTCACTTTCCTGCCGTGTGACACATATTACCTCTGAGAAAACTGTATAAAAGCCAGTTTTCTGAAGGCAACCCACCAGGGTAAGTAACACTTCTCACTGCCTGTTTTAAAGATATCTCAATTTAAAGGTAAGGAAACATATAGAAAAATTCATGTAGTTGTTCAGGCACTTGGTTTAAACCATATTAAATGTTTACTGTTCCTCTTGGTTTTGTGTAAAGCAATAGATTATCCTTGACAAGCTCTCATCTAATTGAAAAATCTGTATTTTTGCTTCAAGATCATCATGAAGGTGCTGTTTGAAGTTTTGGTTGTGTGCCTGTTTACTGGAGCGCTGCATGTTGCAGGGGCAAACACTCAACCTGAAGAGATGCGGTTAGTCTCACAGAGCTAAACTGGGCTCTAAATGTGCTTGTTTTCCCACATTACACTGAAGGATTCATAATTTTTTAAGATAAGGTAAGATAAGAACAGCCTTTGCTGATCACCAGAGGGGATGTTCAGATGTAAATACACACAGAAACGTAAAAAACTAATCACTTTAATCAACAACCTAAGAAACACAAGTAGCATAAGAATAAAATACTCAAGTAAAGTACTTTGCTCAAATGTAATTTGTTACATTACACCGATAGTGTTTTTTATATAAAGACATTTGTTGCTAAACCATTTAGCCCATTTAATGCTTTGTCTGACGGTGTCGTCAGTTTAATTATTCAGCTGAACTAATACAGTGAGAACAATGTGGCTCACATGTAGAGCTGAAATTAGATTAATCAACTATTTTTATGATCGATTCATCGTTTAAGCTGTTTTCCAAGCAAAAACACCCCCAAAAATCTTTATTTCTCCATGACAGTAAACTGAATATCTTTGAGTTGTGGACAAAACAAGACATTTGAGGACGTCACCTTGGGCTTTGGGAAGCACTGATCGATATTTTTCAGCATTTTCTGACATTTTATAAACCAAACAACTAATCGAATAATCGAGAAAATAATCCACAGCGAAAACAATCGTTAGCTGCAGCTCTACTGTTGGTCAGACAAGACTTTTGAAGACTAGATTTCTTTATTTAAAAACCTTTTTTCTCATCGACCAAACGATTAATCATAAATATGAAAATAATCATCAGCTGCAGCTCTGCTCATTTGATGTCATATTTGTGTCTTTGCAAAGTCTCAGTGAAGACGAGCAGCACGTGGCGAGAAGGTACGCTGAGTCGGCCATCGCCAGCGAAATCAGCAAAATCATGGATTCAATGGTGCAGAAAAACTTTGTGGATTTCTTGCTCACTCAAAGGCAGAAAAAAAGCGAGTAAGTCACCCAATAACCGCAAAAGATTTTGAGCAAAAGCAGGAAGAACAGATTTATGCAAGTGATTGCTGCTCTCACAGGTTGGCCACTGCGGAGGAAGATCCAGAGCAGCGCCTGCACAACGAGCTGCTGAAGCTCAGTCAGCGTGAGACGCAGAAGAGAAACATCTAGGTGTGTTTTCCCTTTTTCATGTCGTATAAACTGGTGAGTCTTGCTGTGTTTAACACCATATCTCACATTCTGTTTTTTAGGATCCAAAAAGGTGCAGAGGCACTGTGGAAAATCATCATCATCATCTTCTGATCTTTCCTTTTGACATTTTAAAAGTTTGGATAAAGTGTAGTGTGTGATTTTCTGTGTAGTGTAAAGCCACCTTGTATAAGACAAATCATCACACAACAAAATAAAATGACCTGAGATTGAGTTACAACAGTGATGTTGTATTTTCTTTTATTGGAAACATAGTGTATAAGAAATAAAACACTGCAGATTACTTTGACTCACTAAACTGAGTCTTCAGTCTGCTGCCTCCACTACATTTATTTACCTATTATGATTTTGTTATTTAGGTTTAACAGTTATAATAATACACAAAAAATACCATAAATAATCATAATAAGACAAATAAATACAATGTGATAACTATATTTGTTTCGATATTCTTAAACATGTGTGAAAACAGTTGATGGGCCCTGTTTCTGATATATTTCCCCTTCGTTTTCACCCTGAGCTACTCATCTTCTTACTTTTCTGTCCTTTCTTTTCTTTCACACTTCTGACTCGCTTTGTTTTTCCTTCTTTCTCTCTTCACTCACACATTGCAGAACCATCCATACATGTCATGTGGAACGCTCCATGTTTGTGCGGTGGACCCGTGCACACTTGCATGTGACAGTAAACAAGATCATTATATTGCAGTTTCAAGCAGCCACACAGCTACAGACGCATCAAACCACAAAATAAATTGAATATTGCATACTTTCTGCAACATTTTTGATATCATTTTGCACAATGTGATATTGCGATAACAATATTGAGTCAACATATTGTGCAACTCTACTACAGATGTGGTTGCTAGTTACTTTTCAAATTAAAACATATAATAAACTTATAGAACACAACTTATTATTAAAGACTAGACCAGTGTTTACCGATCCTTCTGGCTCGGATGTCTTATAAAAAGCTTGTCGTGTTTGAAATGTCTATAATTGGAGAAAAAAGTAAAGTACAAATATGGGGCACAGAACTTAGTTTTATCTTCTTAATCATCTCACGAACACTCAGATTTATCTTGGGAGCTGTTTGATGTGCCAGACCCTGAGCTGTGAACCAATGGATTAAAGTACCTTACTGTATATAATACCTATAAAATAGTTAAAACTTTGATCTGCAGCTGTAAGATTTATGCTAACGCATTGATGCATTAATATTATATATAGCATTGATTACTGAAAGTTAAATTTCCTAGATTTTTACTTATTATAATTTAAGTACATTTTGCTGATAACATAAATATTTTCTGTACTAATAATCAAGTACTTTAATTGATTGATTCACCTTCTTTATTGATTATTACTATAAAATTGGCAATCAAAAGGATAAAAAACACAATAAAGCCAAAAAGATTATTTCCATTGTGGTCCTTTCTGGGGAGGTAGGCTATACATTATTTAAATTAAAGATAGATAGATAGACAGACAGACAGACAGACAGACAGACAGACAGACAGACAGACAGACAGATAGATAGATAGATAGACAGAGAGATAGATAGAGAGACAGATAGATAGATAGATAGATAGATAGATAGATAGACAGATAGATAGACAGAGAGACAGATAGATAGATAGATAGATAGATAGACAGAGAGATAGATAGATAGACAGAGAGACAGATAGATAGATAGATAGACAGAGAGATAGACAGACAGACAGACAGACAGACAGACAGATAGATAGACAGAGAGATAGATAGATAGATAGATAGATAGACAGAGAGATAGACAGATAGATAGACAGATAGACAGATAGATAGACAGAGAGATAGACCGATAGATAGACAGAGAGATAGACAGATAGATAGACAGATAGATAGACAGATAGACAGATAGATAGACAGAGAGATAGACAGATAGATAGACAGAGAGATAGATAGATAGATAGATAGACAGAGAGATAGATAGATAGATAGACAGACAGATAGACAGATAGATAGACAGAGAGATAGATAGACAGACAGACAGACAGACAGACAGACAGACAGATAGACAGATAGATAGATAGATAGACAGATAGATAGATAGACACTTTATTGATTCTTCACAGGAAATTAGATTTTCTACAGTAGACTCTGCTACTACTGACACTTCACCTTTATTAACTGATTTATTCTGTTGTTAATTGTTGTCTCCCCCACTTCGACTTTGACATGTTAGTTGTGTATAAATCATTTAAAATGTTGCTGGCCTGTCATTTCCGCCGAGACACCAGGGGGCGGTATACAATAAATCGTTGACGTCACCGACCAGGAAGAACTTTACTTCCGTGCACTCAAAATGGGAACATTAATGTCTTAAAGTGGCTGTTTTTTTTTCGCTACATGTCCCGAAAACGGCACTTTTTAATCCTTCTTAAGTTTAATTTACTATCGGGCTACTAATGTGAAAGATAAAGTTATCGAAGAAGCGCGTTTTGAGGAGGAGAGTTGGTGACAACAACAAGAAAAATCCTCCGGCTAACGTTGATGTTATTTTAGCTAACTTAACTTTTATTACTCACCTACAACCTTAAAAGCATCTTACCTGATATTAATCAACAATAGACACACTCGTAGTTTAGAGTCTGCGTGTATTTGTGTACCAGACATCAGGAAAATGCATCGGAGAGGTGTTGGTGCGGGAGCTATTGCCAAAAAGAAGCTCGCAGAGGTAACGTGACAGTTTGTTACTGAACATTTGTGTTGGACAGGTAACTTACCTTCACGGCTCACCTGTGGTTATTTCTCCTCTTTAGGCCAAATATAAGGAAAGAGGAACTGTTCTTGCAGAGGACCAGATTGTCCAAGTGAGTTCTCTCCTATTATTATTATTTTTTTTTTATTAAAAACACTGAAAAGACTCTTTAGATGCCAATAGATTAAAGAGTTTCACTTAAAAAAAAGCATCAGATTTATCCATGTAACAATTCTACCGTGTTAGTTTTATTAAAAAATATATATATTTTAAGATGATGTCAAGTTTCATGTCTGTCAGGACACAGTGTATAATAAGTACTTGTTTAACCAAAGAACCTTTCTGTTTTCATTCATTTAAGGGTCATGGTAACTGGTGATACTACTACTAATAGTGTAATACCATGAAACCTTGAAAATCTCATACCGTTGCAACCCTTGTACTGTCCCTGCTTCCAGTCACAACACTGTCACAGCCATGCATTTATTTTATTTGCATCATTTAATTACCGTTTCTGTTTTTCTGACAGATGTCTAAGCAGTTGGAGACCTTCAAGTCCAACCTGGAGGAGTTTGCCAGCAAGCATAAACAAGAAATCCGAAAGAGCTCCGAGTTCAGGGTTCAGTTTCAGGAAATGTGTGCCACAATTGGAGTTGACCCACTTGCCTGTGAGAAACATATGCAACATAATTCGTAAAAATGTTGAAATCATATGTTTTAAATATCCTTTAAACCTCTTTTTCTTCCACAGCTGGCAAAGGTTTTTGGTCTGAGATGCTTGGCGTAGGTGACTTCTACTATGAGCTCGGTGTACAGATTATTGAAGTGTGCCTCGCCCTGAAACACAGAAATGGAGGTTTGTAATTTGTCTGGGTAATAAATGTTTGATTGTAACGAGGAGGTGAAGATCTCAACTCCATCCTCGTTATCATGCATGTCAGCACAGTAAATATACAGTGACTCCTGCCTGAAGTAGACACGATGATAAATAATGTTTACGTGTATTTCCTTTCAGGGCTTATTACTTTGGATGAACTCCATCAGAGAGTACTGAAGGGAAGAGGTAAATACGCTCAGGACGTGAGCCAGTAAGTGTCACTAATTAAATAAAACGGAAAAGCAGAGAATGTTCTGCTTTATTTGATCTGTATTTACACAACTGCACTATCTATTATCCAAGAACACACTTTTCTTACTCATCTAGAAGTCAAATTTGGATTATTAAATGCCCATGTCTCGGCCTCGGTTTGTATGATTATTGAAATCATTAAATTTGTGCTTCCCAGAGACGACCTGATGAGAGCCATTAAGAAACTGAAGGTGATGGGAAATGGCTTTGGGGTGATTCCTGTTGGTGGTTCTTACTTGGTCCAGTCAGTCCCAGCAGAGCTCAACATGGACCATACTGTAGTTCTACAGCTGGCCGAGGTGAGACGCAGCTCCCGGGTTGATTTTCATATATATCAGATATGTCACAGCTTTGTTGATCACAAATTAAGATATTATGTGCTTTGTTAACTAAATTTTCACTCAGATTCTGTTGTTTTTAATCGACATTTTCAAAACTCTGCGGTACTGAACTCATGTAGTCTTTATCAGTGTAGAGACTCTGGTAGACTTCCACTTCACATTATGTAAATGTGTCTGCAGTTTTATATGTCGGGTCTCATGTTTGTTAAGTCCGAAGTCCAACATGACACCAGTTTGAATCAAATGCAGTGGCAGTAACATTAAAATGCTTCAGCTGTGTCTAAATTACCCAAAACATACTTTGGCATTTCTTTACTGCAGTTTCTTTTACTTATCGGCTGATTTATCTGTTTAACTCTAGCTTAGAGGATACACATTCAGCCATATTTACATACTATATGTGAGTAAATTTTAACTGTGCTTGGGTGCAGTTGTACTGTAGGCGGTAACATTTATACTAAACTCTTAAAACAGGCAGCATACATTTATATTCTAACTAATAAATGAGGAGATTGAGGAGAGGATGTATTATGGGATCTACAGCATTTAATGGACTGGCGAGTTCCCATTCACAGGGGTCGTCAAGTAGTCAAAGCCAGTACTTCTCAAAATGACTCGGGGGAGGGTGTGTGTTTGTGCAGAGGATGTAAACTTGAAAGAAGCTGATTCATGCTTATTGAGAAGACACATCAGTTATGTCCAAAATATGACGAACATGACCAAGTCTGTCTTGTTCTCTAAGAGTTCATTGCATTTGCCAAATTAAAGTATAGGTTAAAAATGGGTTCAAGTCTGGTTAACACTACTCACATCAATGCCCATATGTAGGTTGAAAGAGTTTTTTTGGTCTTTAAACGTTTCTCCTGTACAAACTGTCGTGATGCGATTTCAGTGTAAGTGATAGGACAAAATCCACAGTCATTGTTCTGTGTAAAAATAAATCCAGCTGAAGCTAAAATCTGGCTTCAGCGGAGTTGGACACACAAAGTGAGTCTCTTCCAAAATCCCTCTTTGTTTCCTACCTGAGCTGCAGTAGGTAAGATCACAACTTGTATAGATTTCAATTTTTTTTTTTTTTTAGCCCTTTACTTTCAATACCTCTTATTAGCTCAACTTTAGAACATATTTAAAAAAACAAACTAAGACTGTGGATTTTGTTCTCCACCACTTGCATTTAAATCATGTTTAGAAGCCAGTATAGACCGGAGCAAATCTTATGACCAAAAACAGTTTTAGTGTAGATTTTGGCATTTAAGTATTTGTTTTAAGAAAAAAATCTTTTTAATTAGTTGGTTAATTTAAAAAATAGGGAGCACAGTGTGGATAAAATGTTTTAGAAACACATAAGTAACAGGGCTATAAAGTAATTCAACAGCAAAACATGTTTTAAAGTCCGTCACTTGAGATTTTCGCCACTATCTTCCACTTTTCTTCCTCCCTCTGCTGCACCAGGTGCCAAATATTGCGTGAGCTTTGCAGCATTATCTGTAATGTTCCTGTCATGTTTGAATAAAACAAATGTTTTACTGTATGTTCATTCCTTTTAATAGATCGATGTAGCCGCCAGTTTTACAGATTGTGGGTTTACTATTTGTTCTTATGGCCGTTTGTTTCTTTGTTAATTTGTAGAAAAAGGGCTACGTCACAGTGAGTGAGATCAAGGGCAGTCTAAAATGGGAGAAGGAGCGAGCTTGTCACGTCCTGGTAAGTGCATATCGGCTCATCGCTATGTCACTATGTAACAGTTTGACCACTCCTGCTTTAAAGCAGAGTTCCTGCAGGTCTTGAGCAATATCTTAGAAGATATTAAAACGTTGTAAAATGCAATTTTCATGGTCTCTTGCCTGCATTCGGTGGTAATGTTAGTTAAAAAGTTTTCTCATAATGGGCAAGTGTCACTTTTTAGAAAATATCTTTTAATTAATTTGCATTCATTAATCCATCTGTCCATTTTCCCGCTCAAGGTTAATTATCATTATGAATTATTTACAGCTACAGTGATTAGTCAGTTAATTGGTTGGTTGATCGTCAGAAAAGTTATTGGCAACTGTTTTCATAATTGATGAATCATTTCAGTTATTTTTTTAAGCAAACGTGCCAAATAATCTGTGGTTTGAGCTTCTCAAATGAGAGGACTTGATGCTTTCTGTGTCATATACGACAACAATTGATTACCTTTGGGTTTTTGGTATGTTGGTTGGACAAAACAGGCAAATTGAAGATGTTATACTTAACTTTCACAGTTAAATTTTTTTTAACAATTAATAGAACATAAACAACAGACTAATCGATTATGAAATTTTTTAGTTGCAGCCCCAAAATTATAGTACTATAATAACTAATTCTACGCCACGTTGTCCTTTTCCATCATATTTTTAAATGTTGTTCGATATGATAGTGGAAAAAAGTATTAAATTACATTCAAGTCTTAAATTTAAGTTGAAGAAACCCTGCAGAAACTCTGTAAAGTGCATCACCTTCGACCACCTCTCACATATCCAGGATCACCTGCTGAAAGAAGGCTTGGCTTGGCTGGACTCTCAGGCAGCTGGAGAAGCACAGTACTGGCTGCCAGCCCTCTTCTCAGAGATAACCTCGCGTGACGTCACACCAGAGGAGGCCAATCAGATGACACCTTAAGAAATGACAGGGGGGACCTGGACCGCTAGCTGGTGGCGGCTTTAGAGACCTGTTAGTAAACAAAACTGTGCCTGGTGGGAAGGCTCGTGTGATGGAACTGGCAGGCTGGATGGACTTCCTCTGATATCATTTTCTGGACACAAAGAGGGAAAACTTTCCTCATCGCCTCCTCAGTACCATCTATGCAACGTGTGCACTGACATTGTTGGAGTCACTGAGAGCAGTTTGATTTCCACTCCACTGAAGTTCAGTCTGAGATCTTATGTCGTCTTGCTGGTGTCTGTTTGAGGGTGATACTCAATGTACAGAACAAGTAATTGTTTAAGTTTTCATGCATAAACGGTAACTTTGAAAGAAAAGACTACACCGGCTGCCTTCTAGCAGTTTAACTCAACTTTTATTACGTTAGCAGGACTTAAAATGCACTTACATTTATTCATTTGAATTGATCATTGATATCAATTCACTTTGGATCATTGCTCAGCCTCATATCAACAATACATTCTGTCATGTACATTTTAAAATCTACAGAAACTTGGGTAATAAACACTTACATCAGTGTGATCTGGTTATAGTAGATCAGAAGTTCCTCAGATAAGTGCAAAGCTATATTGTGGTTAATATATCAAGTTTTAAATGTGCCGTCGTTATTTAAAATTACAATTTTATATCGACTTCAAGGACCGTTCCATTGTTTAAGCATATCTCCAAATCATATATACCTTACTGCTGTTAGTTTTCCAAAGCATATCATAGGTTTAAAATTAATTTAACTGTGAACATCAAGCCTACTTTTATTTTTGTACTATTTATTATAATAAACGAGTTGTGTAGGGCTGGGTATCGAACATCAGTACTTCTTTAGGGTTTAAATCAGAATTTTGCCACTTTTCTACATAACAAAGAGAGAAACGGGCTCTACTAACTATTATATTTAAGATCTTTTAGGGTGCTACATGTACCATCCATGAGCACAAGTCCATTACAGCAAATATTGCAAATATTCATCTTACATTTCATAACTGGCTAAACTACATGCATGAACGTTCGTAGACTTGTTTTGTGCTTAACACACACACTAAAGAAGGGAGAGCCAGAAACTTGTGTCTAGTGGACTGTTGCTGGTGATTTAATTATAAGTAATTAGAAAATGTGAATTCAGTGTCTTATTTTAGGCAAAATACATCTTCGCTTAAAGAAAATAAGGGTTTTGTGTTTTTGGGTACCATACTGACACATGTCAAAAATGTTGTGTGGTAATCCACTGCAGACCTTTAAAAACCAGCTCCACTAAATGCATAACAGTGATAACATCTGACCAAAATAAATGAGAACACTGTGTTCACAGTGATGGATTGCATAACTCAGGCAGGGTTCAAGTCAGCTGGCTCTCCCGCAGACTGAACGCACGATGGACACTAATAGCTGTTGGAAGGTAGAAAACTTCAGTATGCTTTGGAAAATAGTCAACAGTAATTTGCAGTAAATTGTGCAAAAATATCAGCGTGGTCCTTTTACACATGACCAACCACCTTGTAAGACATTTTTCCCCTCCAGACATTTGAATCACACCCGGTGACTTTCTCACACCTCGTGGCTGTAGACGTGATCTTCAAACACAGACTGCTCCATGTTGTCACAGATCATCGTGCAGAAGGGACAGACTCTGTGACTCTGCTCGTGCTGCTCCAGTTCCTGTTGGGTTATGAGGGGGAAGCTCTCCTGGCAGTGACGACACACCAACGACTGCTGGGAATAGAAATGGAGAGACAGCTTATTAGCCTGTGGTAACATAATAGGGAGCGGATTATGTTTTAAGTCCGCTTCAAAAATAAACTGTAAACAGACGAGTCACTCTCAGGCTCATGTGTGGATATGCAGAGACCACGTGAGGGAGGGAGATTTGTTATCCAGAGTTGCCTCGGGTCCAGTTGCTTTAACCTTTAATTTGTTTGTTTGTATAAGTTATTTCAAGCTAAGATGATCTACCACTTTTACAATGTGTTCATAGTGTCAGAGAAAACATGCAAAGGGCTTCTTTGCTCAACAACAACATGATTGGAAAGTTTAGAGAGAGAAAATACAAATAGATGACACACAACTCATGTTTTGGATAGGAATCACATGAGTGATGGGACAGGTGATATACCGTACAAATTACTCCTGAGAAGTCATTTGACTTACCTCTACTGGGTCTGCAACACTCCCTGCAAGGAAAGAAGAAATTGGTTAACACGAGATAAAACAATTCTTGTTTATTCTACAGATGCAGCTTACGATTATTGTCACTGACTTTTGTTGTTTAGGAGAAACTTGTTCTATAAATGTAATTTTGTATCCCTCTATTGAAATATTTATATAGTTCTGGAAAAACTATTGGGGAAACAGTTACTGGGTAAAACTGTCTGTTTTTGGTTAATCCAACAAATAAAACACCCGACAAATCAATGTACGTCATCACATTGATCATATAAAAATCCAAATTTCCATAAAGCAGAGACTTTGCTAAATTGCCCATTAAGGTCTAAGAGATGTTTTAAATAATATGGCAAAATGTGTGTGGTCTGTCAGTATCTATTGCCCAACCCTAAAAGCTAGTCTTGTCTGTCATTACCGAGGTCTAGAGATTCTCTCAAGTAACCAGGACAGAGTTTCTGAAAAAGAGACCAAGACCAGTTCCCCACATTACATGACACACAATAAAATGTGGAACGAGATCACAGGTACTTCTCAAAGTGATCTGAAAGATCCACATTCCCATTAAAAACACCCACATACAAACACTACGAGCTGAAATCAACGTAAGCATCTTTATTCAACACTACTTTTCCATGTTTACCATCGCGGGGAGGGGTGACAGTCGTTTTATGGCAAAATGTAATTCCCGCCTATGCTTATGAGTGTGTATTTCAGAGCCTGATACTCACCTATGGTCTCATACAGGTGCTCAGCCTCTTCAGGTGTCTCCTGCTGTTGCCATTCATGGATGGATGAAGTGGTGTCAAGGGGTGAGGTGATGTCAGGCTGCATGTATGATGAGTCGGCAGGGGGAGCTGCTTGGAGTTCAGCATAAGCACTGCGCATCCGCTCGATACCACTCATGAGACTCTGACAGAAAAAACAAAACAAGTACAGTTTAAAATCACTTAGTGACCCTGTGGATCGAGACTGTTTGCGTAAACGTACCTGGTTTTCTCTAGCAAGCTCTTCTTTCTCATGTCTCACGAGCCTCATGAGGTCTTCCTTCTCTTCTATGATGCCTTCTTTATCTGCGATCATCAAATGCGCTTCCTTTAGCAGTATCTGAAAAATGAAGGGAAACAAGCCACAGTTTTTGTTTCAACACACGCAGAATTCAAACATGACTTATACACTATATGGCCTCAAGTATGTGGAACATGTTATTCCAAAACAACAGGCATTAATCTGCTGCTATAACAGCCTCCGCTGTTCTGGTTTCAGTCTTTCCACCAGCTTTTTGAACCTAGCTGCTCCCATTCAGCCACAACAGCATTAGTGACACTGAGGTCTGGCTGACAGTGATACGGTTTATCCCAGAGGTGTTGGATGTGGTTGAGGCTCTGTGTAGACCAGTTCTTCCACACCAGCTGGGAGAACTTATAAAGACTTTATGGATCTGGTTTTATGCACAACTCTTGGACAGCCTTCTTTCAGAGAACCCAAATAATAAATAAAAGCATCTAAAAACAGCTTAAAATGCTTAAAATAGCAAAAAACAGCTCCAGCCAAACTGTCCACATACTTTTGGCCTCATAGTACAATCAATCAAAGTCTAGATTTTTGCTTGAGTTTACCTCTTGTTTGCTATTTTTCCGTTGTGCCTCCTCATATGATGAGATCACATTCTCCAGCTGATCCTTGACATGACTGAGCTCTCTGTCCAGACCCTCAACTCGTCTACTGATGTTTTTTGACTGCTCCTTCTCAGCCGCCAACTTCGCCTGAGTATCCTGTAGCTGGCAGGTAAGAGTCTGACACTGCACCTGAAGAGGAGGACATAGCGTTGAGCATTTAGCATAGAGGGAAATAATGTTATTGTTGTTTGTAATTAAAAGAAATGAATTCAGCTTCGGTTTTAATTTGTTCCCACCCTTAGACCGTCATCTGGACAGTCCTGCAGAGCCTCCGCCTGCAACAGCCTCCTACGTAACTCCTGGTTCTCACTCTTCAGGTCGTCCATGTTTTGCACAACGTTTTGCGACCTTCGCAGCTCTGCTGAGAGCCTCTCCTTCTCTTTCTCACTGCTCTGAAGGTCAACCTGCCAAAAGGTAAATCACACACATTTGAATACAGGAACAAAGTTCTGATCTGGACCCAAATAATCTTCACCTGACCTGTCTTATCTTGACCTCAATGACTTATAATATTAGAAGTGTTTATAATGAAATGCATTTCATTTTTTAGGTGATTTAACGTGATGTAATTCTGCTTTACTGGCAAGAGCAGTTAGAAGTTTTGGTCTTTACTTTTACCTATACTAACTGCTCTTAAAGGATAAGGCTTTTAATAATCTTTTATTCTTGTCAACAAACCCAATGAAAAGTATTTTTGTGTGTGTAATATCTCTTCTTCCCTTTGAGCCATAGAGCTTCATTGTTGTCCAAAAAGTATTAAAAACGCATTAATAAGCCTCATTGTTGCATTAAGTGACATGTTCCTTCATCACCATGAACACACTCATAGTATGTCTATTAAAATAATCTCAATTAAAAAAGGTCTGCTTCCTGCTTTTTAGGATCTTTACATCACGCCACAGTCTTCATCAGTGAATGCAGCTAGTTTAGGTGTCATCCGATGCCAAAGACTGTATCTGAACCGAGACAGGGGATATTGTTTGATAATTTTTCACACGTAGGTCACACGGTAAAACCTGAGCCAGCTCACTTATGAGGTTCCTGAAATGTGTTTGGGACCTTGGGAAAATTTTGTCACATGTTGAAGGTGATGCTTCTGTTTATTTTGATTCAG